ACCGCGCACCGCCACAGCCCCGCCGCCGCCACAGCCGCCATCTTGCCCCGCGGGGGCGGCGCTGCGGGCGGCACCGGGCGGGCACCACGGCCACGCCCGTCTGAGCCGCTGAGGGCACGGGGGGGGCGAGGCCGTCGCCACCCCAGGTGTTGCGAAATGTGGAATTCGTAAAAATTTTCTTAAGAGAGCATGTCCTTTGGTGTTTGATCTTTGTACACTTTCAAGCGTAATTGACAAGAAAGGAGATTTAGTCCGTGAAACAGCAGCTAATAAGCAAGCTATAAGCGACGTCCAGGTGTTAGAATGGCAAATTACTTGTCGGTAAAATTGCCTTGTTAAGGGTTTAAGGCTGTCTAAGTTTCAGCTATCTTAGACGGGAGGTTAACAAAGTTCGGGAAAAAGGATGTAGCACTGATAGTGGACACGAAGAATGCAGAATTTACAGGCCACAAGGACATTTGGCAGAACCCGAAGACAAGAAAAAAACTAATAAAGACAACTCAGCAACTGTGGTGAAATCAACTCCGACTGGGTAAAAGTTAATTCTGGCAGGGGAAGACGCCCACGGACCCAAAAGAGAAAGACTGAGCCCGGGGACTAATTAGCTTGAGAAGTGACAGAATCATTAACCAGTAGAAGATAGAATACTCTTTAAAAAGAGGACAATGAATGTTAATGTCTTTATTTGCTAAAATGTATACTCAGTGAAAAGTTTTGGTAGTCGTTGTGCTGGCTTTGTGGATTTATCACCCAGCACCCCTTTCTGCACAGAACTGTAAATCAATCAAATACCTCGACTCAATGAGGATTTGGCCTCTTGCACACTGGGAGAAAGAACGTATTTTGGATAACACAGGGGCACCTTCATGGCCACTGCCACCACCTTGGCACCTCCAGTTCCAGCTGTGAGGGTCAGGGTTCAGGCTAACTGCTTCACTGAGTTGGGGTTTTATTATTGCAAGTGATTTACTCAACACTACTTAAAGGACACTAAATGACTATCTTCTTCCTTTTGTGGTTGTTGAATTTTTTTTTTTTTGGTTGGGATTTTTGTTGTTGTTGTTTTGTTTTGTTGTTTTTTTCCTTTTGATCTAAACCCAGGATTTTCTGTGCCCTCTACCCTTAGCATGGTGGCCAGTTTTTGGTGTGTGTTTTTGGGGGAGGAGAGTTGTTTATTTAAGGAATGCGCAAAAAGGGGTGGCACAGCTGTCTGATAATTGGGATTTCAAATGGAGTAGGTAACATGTGGCCTGATTTGGGGTGAGATTGTGCATTCACAGATCACTCCTGGGCAGCAGCACAGAGGCTCTGTGCTGCCTCCACTGCACACACCAACACTGGCTGACTGCCATGAGGCAAAGTTTATCAGAAAGATCAAGATTCCTCATTTCAAATTCAGCACTGCCAAGGGAGTTCAGAAAAGGCCTGAGCAGTCTGTGAACATTAAGCCATTCGTGACAGGGGATTATTTTGAGGTAACAAGACATTCAATTTATCTGTGTTAAGCACATAGACTGGCCAACCAGAAAGGTAATGACTGACTGATACCTACCCATTTGCACAGCCTGGGTAATAAGGCAGAGAAACCTGCAGAGTCATATCTGCCCATAAGGAATGAGAGGGTAAGGGTGTGGGGAAGATGAATGTTACCTGTAAGAACATAGAGATTTAACAAAGCTGCTGGTTTTGAGGGAAAGAGACAACACTTGATGAATCTGTGCAGTTATAAAACTTGACATGAAAGATAAAAAAACTATCACTAGGTCTATACTGTCAATTTTTGATTTCAGGGCAAACTGAATACACGCTGCTATGGGAGTTCAGAGGCATCAGACTTCACATCTTACAGCTTAGTCTTCATTGCCAAATGGCCAAACAGCTATTTTTCTAAATGTTCAACATTTAGAAAAAAACAAAAAAAATAATGTTGATGCTCTGTTGGTGCAGTAAGTTCTAGAGTACCTAACATCTTTGTAACTGCTGAACATCATCTGGCAGCCACTGAAGCAATAGTGCCACACCACTAGGCAGTAGTTTCCACAGTACCATTAAAACTGCATATCTGATAGGTGTCAGAGACTCTGACATTCTAAGATTTACATGGTAACATTTCATTAAAATTAATTAATTCAAAACATACTGAGTCTCAAGAGATACGTAATCACTGAACTAAAAATAAAAAAAAACCAAAATACCTAACCAACCAAAAAAATCTAAAAATATAATTGAAGGAAGAACTACCAGCATTTTATAAGGAAAATAAATTGGCTTAATAGGCTACTACCCCACTTTCTAAAATTCTACTTCATTTTGGGTGATTTACAAGTTTAGAAAGAGTTTAAGAACAGCTTAAGTGAAATATTGAAGCATCCAATCTCTGTTTTAAAGCATGTCAGGAGGTTTAAAGCAGAAAGTATCTATTAGGATTTTTGGTGGGTTTTTTTTTTTGCATTTTTTAATCTTCCAGGATAACATGAGAAATTATAAGACTAAATCTAACATCTGTAGGGGAAAAAGTAATCAAAAAATGTAATACCTAGAAAAGCATGATCTGAAAGTGTCTGTCTGTCACTAGACTTCTGCAAAGGTAATGATGTCTTAATCACCTCTTACAGAAATACCTAAGAGGTGATGAATATGTAAGAGCTGGCAAGTATAATTTAGACTTTCACGGATTAAGCCAAGTGGTATAACAGAGTTCAGCAGAAACCTCAGTCACCATTGTAAACTTGCATGCCAGTGCTGTTTCTGCCACTCAAACTACCTTGTTGAAAGAAATGCACAGCACCTGATGATAAAGTTTAAAAATAAAAAAGAGACTTTTGACACAAAAGACTACTAAGGAAAAAAATAATCCTAGGTCAGGAATAAAATATGGACATAATGCTGACCTAAATTTCTGTTGAGAGCAAATGTTTAATGAAAGATTGCGTTGATATTCTGTTTAGATACAGTTTCACAGGCGTCAACTCTGGTACTATTTCAAAAGTTAGATGCAAGTTAAGCCTGCGGTCCATATTGTGATAAACTGAGAAAATGATTCGGGCTAATTAAAAGAAAACAGTGTAAGGTCAATATGACCTGGAGAGAGAAAAGAAAAACAAATCGTAAAACTTAATTGGGCCCCTATAAAGAGATAAAACAAGTTACCTCCCTTTTACCTTGTGTAAGATTTATAGTGAAGGAATTTTGTTTAGTTAGCTAGATAATAGCACCTTTCTTAAAAATTTATAACTTTGTATAGATAACAAGCAAACATCTGCTGAATGTCTGACTTGACAAAATATTATAGATACTTACAGATAATATTCTTGTCTAAGAAAAACATCTGTTGAATGTCTGACTTAACCATATGTAATGTTTATGCTTATGTATAATGAATATTCATGAATTAGTTGGAAATAAATGTGGAACAACTGTCTTCTTTGGGTGTTACAGGCGTTGGGAGTTGTTGAAACCCCTCCCTGATCACCCAGCACTGAATTTGCTTTTATCATATAATAAATTCTAATTGGAAATCACCCGACTGGGTTTCTATTTCTCACAATATGAGTGTCTGAAACACCCCTTTCTGCTCTGATAGTCTCTAACTTTTGAACTCTGCTGAATCATTTATTTGTGAATTGAAAAAAGGAACAAGTAGAAAACCAACAAATATTAGAGGACAGACAGCTAGGTCAGTCAGACAGCAAGAACTCACAAAGTGTAGAAGGTAAATGAATGGGAAACCATGATACCAGAAAAATAAAGTAAAATAAAATTGGATAAATACAGGAAAATTTAAAGGGGTTTATATGATTCATACAGTTTCTTATGATTATGATTTGTCATATGAGTTGGTCACAGAAGTCAAGCCAATAGGATAAATAAGACATAAAATAATGACAACAATACAGAAAATACTTAAGTACAGTTATATAAAGCTGAGAAATAGTCTCATTCAGGTTATATTGTATATTTCTGGTCACCTTAGCTCAAAACTGAAATGGCAAAATTATGAGAGATTAAAAAGAACAAGCAAATAAAATGGAGAAAACTCAGAAGGAAAGAGATTAAGGAGACTGATCATTTATCTTAGAAGCATAGGAAAATATAAAAAGGTATCTAAATGAACATTTAAGAACCAAGGATACTTAAAGTCACATGGAGATTAAACAGATTATGATACTAGAGAAACATTTCTGACAGCTCACATTAACATTTCTGTATGGTTTAGATTAATATTTTCTATTAGAAAAATGTTATCCTGAGTTTCCCCTCCCCATTTCAACTCCACAGTGGTTTTTTTTTTATATACTAAAACTTCTTAACTGTGGTTGTAACTTCAAAAGATTTCACTATTTTGCAAAGTCAAGGGGCAAACAATTACCAATATTCATTATTTGAGAAGTAAGCCGACTGCCCGGTAGGAAGGAATTTGCTCTCCAGCTGCGGCTGATGTGATCACGGACATGAGGAGTTTGATCCCCTGCTCCCCGTGAGCTGCCGAGCACAAGGAGAAATTGGTATTTTGAGCCATTCCTCAGCTGTGTGTGGCTGCAGACATGCACGTGTGGCTTCCTCTGCTGTTTCCAGAAAAGTCAGTGTAAGACAAGTCTTTGGTAATCTGCCGAATGGCCTTCGAACTCCCAGGTGTTTTTTATTTAAAATTCTTTTTTTTTTTTTCCAAAATTTTCTTTCAGTTAAGAGATGTCCAGAGCGTTTCCTGTTCCGCACGCAATGCATTTTATTAGGGATATGAGCGCCCTGAGAAGGGCGGGACAGAGGGACACAACCCACCCGCAGGGCCTCGGCTGAAGATGTCAGTCCGGGCCCACGCTGACACGGAGCGGAAGGGGCCGGCAGCTCCCCGGGGGTGCCGGGGGTTGCCGCCGTGACAAGGACACGGCCGTGACGGGCCCGCGCCGGGACACGCCGGGCCCACGGCCGCGCACGCGCGAGGGGCGGTGGCTGCAGCAGTTCCACGGCCCCGGTAGGCGGCGCCCTCCTCCCCGCCCCGCCCTCGGCCCGGCCCCGCGCGCGTGGTCGCGGTGGCGCGCGGGGTTCTCCTTCCCCGTCCCGGCCTCGTCCCGGCTCGCCGGAGAGCTCCAGGATGTGGAAGCTGGTGCCCGCCTCAGGAAAAGGTGAGGGAGCACCAGGCGCTGCCGCTCCGACGGGCTGGGCCCGAGCACGGCGGGCCCCCTCCCCGCCTGGCTGGCGCCTGCGCGGGTTCCCGGGTGGCGTGAGGCCGGAGCCGCGGGCCCGGGCGCTGCCCTCGGATGCCGGGAGTGCCGCTGTCTCGGCTGCCGCCGGGGCTGGCTCCGGCCGGGCTCCTCGGGAAGGGCCGCCTCGGGCGCTGGTGACCAAGTCCTCGTTGCCCTGGGTGCTCGTCCACGGCTCAGCCTCCTCTTTTCCCTGGAGCACTGCAGACCACAGCTCCTGTTAAATCTAATAGGGCTTCTTTTCGAACCCGTATGGGGTGTCTTCAAGTTCTGCTTTGAAATGCCTGAAGGGTTGAGCTTTGAGGCAGCAACCTCAGGTGTCTTTCAGAAGCGATGTTTAACTATTGTATTGATGTTTCAAGGACTAAGTGTTGAACTTCAGGGAGTTTCTTGGATGCAGAGTTTTGAAACTAAATTGCCCCTGTACTGTTTCTTGTCCATAGGAGCTTTAATAGTAGGTATCATGCAATATATACTTTCCTTCTTAAGTGTTTGCTGTGTAAGGAACAGTTCTATCGCAATTGGATCTGCTTTCTATTTCCTAGTTCACTGGGACTGAATTTGGGATGTTTGATGTATCTCCTAGTGGCAACAGTACCTAATCCTATTGAAATGAACTGAGTTATCTCTTACTGCCTGGAAAATCTTAATGAGGAGGCAAAACACTACTATTTTCATTGTATTCAGGATGATTATTTCTGCACAGTTCACATTTGCAAAGTTATTTGCCCAGGGTTGAAAACTAGAATTTAATCTGTAGTTACTCATTTCCATTAAGAAGCATTCCTGGCTCTGTTTACCAGTAGTAGCACATGTTTAGGATCGAGTCAGTCCATTCACTGGGAAGCCACCATGCAGTCCAGGTGACAGGTACCACAGATATGCTAAAGCATTGGTCAGAGGCTGAACTTACTAAGGATCAGTTTGGTTTACGCTGCAGATCTCCTTAGATTCATTAAGAGGACATTTTTCTCTTAATCTCTTAATCAGTCATGTAAGTAAATTATATACCCTCAAAAAATGATGTACTCTTAAAAAGGTGTTGTTTGGAAAAGGTATCTTACATTATAATCTTTTTTTCTTCCATATGCAGCACTTAGTCTTCAAAAAGTAATACCAGAGAAAAGTTAAAAGACAGAGTATTAGTAAAAATATATTGTTTTTGAAAAAAATGTGTTACCCCATTTGTAACTGCTTTGTGCCCCTTTTGTAACTGCTTTGTTTATCATAAAATGTGTCCTTTTATGATGGACAAATCAAGGGAGAGAGGAAGAAAGATGTTTCATCTATAAACTAGATGTATAATTCTAGTCAACCTAATAAATGATTAGTTACAGAGTTGAGTCTCAGATATACTACAAACTTCTGAATGTCTATGTGCTTTGTGTATTTTAGCATGTTTTGTAAACTGATATTTTTCCGTTTCTTGTTTATTTCCAGGAGAGCCATATCGGCTTTTAAGTGGTACAGAATATGTTGTTGGACGCAAAAACTGTGCCATTTTAATTCAGGATGATCAGTCCATCAGTCGAAGTCATGCAGTTCTGACAGTAAGTCGTCCTGAAACAAGCCCTGTAAGTAGCCAGCATTCTACTGCATTATCAGTGGCCTGTGTGACAATTCAGTCTGCCATGACCATGCATACTCTCATTTTCCTCTCACCAGCATTTTATGCCCTGAGTAGAACTGTTGATCACCTGCCTTTTTTTAATCTTGAAATTTATTGTTGTTTCCTTAGATTTGCTTGCCTTTGTTGAGAAATATAGTGGCATAATTCTAGTGGTCCAAGCTCCCTTTTATCCCAGAGTGAAGATTTACTAGCAATTTTTGTTAAAATAATCATAGCAGGATATTTATGCAATTAAATTTCATTATATAGACAAGTTTTAAGTCTTGGTTCTGGAAAGTGCTTCAGTTGTCTTACTGCAGGCTTAGTTTCTGTTTCATTTCACATCATTAATTCTGTATTTGCCTAGGGCGTGGAAAATAAAAATGTACTGAGGAGAATTAACAAACAGCAATTTACTGTTACTTAGGTGTTGCAGCGTTTGTGGATGTTTTGAGGCCAGTCAGTAGGAATTTAATTTATTAACCTTATATTGAGTTTAAAATAAAATACATAACATGAATTTGTCCTTTTAATACTGCACATACTAGGTGAGTCCAGCGGAGGGCTACAAAGATGATGAGCAGACTGGAGCACCTCACTTATGAGGAAAGGCTGAGTGATCTGGGCCTGTTTAGTTTGGAGAAGAGAAGGCTGAAAGAGGGCCTTATTAATGTCTATATGTATCTGAAGGGAAGGTGTCTAGAGGATGGAGCCAGGTTCTTCCCAGTGGTGCCAAGCAATAGGACAAGAGGCAATGACTGAAACTGGAACACAGGAAGTTCCACCTGAACACGAGGAAAGAAATTTTTTTACTGTGTGAGTGACCGAGCGCTGGAACAGGTTGCCCAGAGAGGTTGTAGAGTCACCATCTCCTGAGATACTACAACAGTGCCTGGGGATAACCCTCAGTGACATCCTCTAAGGAAATCTATTTGAGCAGGCAGTTGGACTAGATGATCTCCAGTGGTCCCTTCCAACCTTATCCGTTCTGTGATTCTGTGAAAGAACGTGTAACTGTGTGGCAGAATGTCATAAAACCAAGCTAACAATGTTCTCATTGGCTTGTGAACCATTCTGGAAATCTGGCAGTGTCTAACATCTTCTCAAAAGAAACCAATGTCTCCATGCCCTGCAGCTTGGGGAAGACTAGCAGTCCTTGTGGAAGGAAGTGAGGGAAAGGGCTGAAATATAGGGAAAAATATCGATAATAAATCTGGGAGCCTTGCTAAATTGCGCTATCAGATGCTTTGGGCCAGTGAATGATTGCCTTGCACAGTCTCCAGAAAGACTGAATGTAAGAAGCACAGACAGTCTGAAGCTAAACACAGGTGTTTTCTCTCATTCTTCCACAGTGAAAACCAGAAGGTGAATAATTTAGTCAACCTTATTGTCCAAAGTCTTTATTTAAGATGGTATTTTGTAGGATACTTCTTATTTATCCACTGCTTTGATCCATAATAATAGTAACCTGTTTCTGACAAAACTATCGTATTCTGATAAACTATAATGATTTGTTTATGTTTATTTTCAGAGTCAATCTCTCTCAGTCCCTATATTAACAGTAAAAGATACATCTAAGTATGGTACCTTTGTTAATGGATCAAAACTCAATGGTACTTCAGTGTCTTTGCAATCTGGTGACAGAATCAACTTTGGAGTATTTGAGAGTAAGTTTAGGTAAGTGCTTTGTTTATAAAATATCAAGTAAAAAAAGTTCAGTTTTTGAAAAGAGTATTTTAGCACATCATATAACTCAGCAAGCAATACAGCAGTGATGAATTTTTAGAAAGCGAAGGAGACGAGTAGTATTTTGCCTGTATTGCACACCTGTTTCTGAAATAGTCTTCCATTATATTTTTATAGTATAATTTATTTTGACATTAAGAGGTTTAAATTGTTCATAGTAAAGCATTGGCATTTTAGAAGGTGTATCATGTACAGTGAGTGTTTTCAAGTTATCATAGGCAAAGAAAAACATCCTAAAACATTCATGATTCTAAGGAAGGTTTAGGGAATGGAGGGAGCTTTTCTGAGCCCTTGTTAGCTGCTGATAATGTAATGAGGAAAGAACAGACATTGCTGGAGGGTGCTTTGTGCAGTACTAGCTGTTGAATGCTTGTTCCTGTGACGTATGCCTGCTCTCTTCAGCAAACCCAGCTTGTTATTGTTTTCAAATTTACATGGTAACCAGTGCTGTTTACATATAGGAAGCATTCCTTGAAGTGAAGTGGCAGGTAAACAGAAAAGGTCTAATGACCATCAAAGTCAATGTTAAAGCAATGAGCAGGTGGCTTTGTGCCTTAAAATTTGATTCAGTTTTATCACTGCTGCTGGTATTATTTGTTAGAAAAGACCCCAGCATTTTCCTCAAAGTACTATAATAAATTATTGTTTGTGTTTTAGAGAAACATACCTGAAATGTGGTACAGGATTCATGCCATGAGACCAGATACATCGTGGCTGTTGTACTACATTTCTTTCTACTTTGTAGACTAAAACAAATCAAATAATGGAATTTGATATGCTGAGTTCCATATGGAAGATCTATAAATAACCTTATGGTCGAGGGTAATGACAGTGTTAGGAAAAAATTACTTGAACTCACCTTCTATGACACTTGTATTTTTTAAGTACTAATCTGTTGATGAACTGTTGTGTTGAACATACTTTTACTTTTGGAAGCACACACTCAAATTTCTTTTGATATTCCCAGACTTTGCAATATTCTTGATGCACTAATTCTGCATAATGTCTGTGAAAGATCCAAAAGTCTGTAGAAATATTTGAGACCTCAGGTCAAAGTGTCATCAATTTTTCTGAATAAAAATTGGTATTTAATTTCTCTTCAGGAAATTTTATAGCACAGTCTTTTGTCTAGGTAAGAGTATGGGTCTTTTTATTTTTACTTCAGATTTCCCTGAGACACAAACATGACAGTTAAGTCAGCTCTGTCCATCGTAATGATTGGCTGGAATAACTAAAGCAGTTCACTTTTACTTGTTCTTTGCAGAGTGGAGTATGAACCTTTGGTTGTCTGCTCCTCATGTTTAGATGTAGCTCAGAAAACTGCTTTAAATCAAGCCATTCAGCAACTTGGAGGCCTTGTAGTGAATGAATGGACAAAAGAGTGTACCCACCTTGTCATGGTATCAGTAAAAGTTACTGTTAAGGTATGTTGAACTTTTGCATATCGATAGTGGTGCTTCGCAGTTTTCCCACAAATGCGACTTAAATTTTAGATCTGCTCAAGGTTTTTCTCTACAAAACTATGCACTCAGCTCTTCCAAGTTTAGAAGAGGTATATGTCGATGGGAGATTGGAGGGAAAGAAAACAAAAAAAGCCAAATTTGAAGAGTTACTGATTTTCATCAGTTGCCTTCTACATTTTCATAATTTTTGTCAAGACACCAGTTAAAAGAGCTAGGCTGTTAGAAGAAAAACTATCCTGTTTTTTGGTAGCAAAAATCAGTATTGTTTTATTTGTTTGTGTGACATTTTCGACATCTAAGATCTCAGAAAGCTAATGTCAGTTGAACCATATTCTGTATGAATTTTTTCCATGCAGTAAATATATATTTTCTGACCTTTCAGACTATATGTGCTTTGATTTGTGCTCGACCAATTATAAAACCAGAGTTTTTTGTTGAATCAATCAGAGCTATTCAGTCCAGGCAACAGTTGCCAAATCATGAAAGGTAAGTTGCCAGATCATCATTTTTACTATGTCACGGAATTAAATTCATGGGAGTTAGATTATCAAAGCTACAGTTTATCTGATAATTTTTGATAGAATATATGATTCACAGTAACTTGGTTTGTGGAAGAATGCTTAACATGACACATATTTTAATAGTCAGACCATTTTCTTGATCTTGTGCCTAGATTTATAAAGTGAGCTCTTGGAATTGACTGTACACTTACAGGTGTTACTGTCTCTAAATAAGAACTTGTTTTGTTAGTGAATTTAAATGTTGATTCAAACACTTTTGGGAGTCGATACATAAAAATAAATTACATTTTTATAAAAGAAATTTTGTCAAGCTTATTTCATTATGTAAACATATTTTCCCAGTGTGTGATTAGTTACTGAGTTTATGGTAAACTTTGGTCAAAACAGAGTTAGTCTGACCCTTGAATTCTCTGAAACATCAGAGGTTTTTAATTATCTGTTATGAAATGAAGTGATACTAATATGCATTGATCTTCACTAGATGAGAATTAAATACTCATTGTTTTCATGGTTAAATTAATTTGAAAAGGGAATTCTTACTTTGGAATAAGTAAATACCGTGGAATATGATGAAATAACCCTCTGGTTATTTTCTCTGTGTGGGAAAGTGTAAAATAGTCCCATTATTGTATTTGACAATTTTATCTGAGCCTGTGTTGCTACTATTTTTACCTTGAAAAGGGTTGTGTTTTGTTTGGGGGTTGTGGTGGTTGGTTTTTTTTTTTGTAGGAACACATGATTTATGCAGGTGAGAAATTTTCATTATGTATTTTTAAGAGGTAAACCGCGTGGGTACATTTTTTTATTGCTTCTGTTCTTCATGTTCTTCATGCTTTGGACAATACTGTGAAATTAAATAGGTAATGAATGGAAATCGTAAGGTACTTGGCATTTGAAAAATAGTGTTGAACTTTTCTTCCTGTTAAGTGACGTTAAAAACTTGTAAAATTACTGTAAATGACATCATGATTTTTCTGCATGTGTTGTTACAACCAGGTGAATGCTGGACGCTACTCGTTCAAGTTGGGGGAAATAAGTGGTGAAGAATAATGGGAGTTAATTGATTTTACATCTCTATGGATATACACTGATATGTATCCATAGGCATATGTGTTTGGACACAGCAATTTAAAATATTTTCTTTAGTGGGTCTGCTGGTAGAATAGTTGAAGAACAGTTTGAAGAAAGAGGCTTGGGGGGAAGGGCAGCTGAGCAAACGTGGTGCCCACGTGGTAATGGACACAAAACTACAGAGGTTTCACAATAAACTGTTCTTGGTATATGGTAAAGTATATTTCACAGAACGTGACAGGACCTGGTTAGAACAATACAGGTGCCAATCTGGAGCAATTGGTAGGAAGTACTCTTTAGTTTCTAGGTGCTGCTTTACATTTGCAGGGTTTATGTAATATGTCAAATCAGTCATCTGTGAGTGGTTTAAAGCTCATTTGCTCTTCAGTTTCAGAAGAAAGGCAGAATCTTAATGAATTATAACTTTCCCTTCTACTTAGAAGTCTGCCTTGTTTTATAAGAATGTGAGAAAACTAAACAAACTATTTAGTCCTCTCTGAAATACTTTTTCTGGCAGATCTTTTGTGGGGTTTTGGTCTTTTTTTTTAGTACAGGTTATGCAAGCCATCAAAAGCTATTTAATTGGTTGTGCAATCTGAAACTTACTTGGTCTGATGTTCCCTGACTGTAAAACTGCTGTTCCTGTCTGTTACAGTAACAAGCAAACAGGTTCTTGAAACTGGAATATGTGTTGTCCATTCCTTTAATACAGAAGTGACAGTATAATTGAGCTGTTAAGTGCTGCTAAAATGGAAGCAGATAGATATGTTTCACTTTTTTAAATGTTTCTGCTACCTCTTAAAACCCTGAGAGGAACTGAGTGACACTAGCACTATATCCATCGTGTAGCTTTCAAAGAGAGCTCTGCATCAAGCTAAATGAGACAGCTGGTGTCATACACAGATCTATGTTTAAAATAATTGCTGTATTTTAAATGGCTAATATTTTTGAGATGTAGTTTGTGGGAAGATACTGAAAATTTATGTAGCAGCTATTTTAATTTGATTTCCAGAAATACTTCTAGCTTTGACGGGGAATCTCTACATTGTGCATTGTAGCTAGAGCTGACCTGAGCTGGTACATCTGCAGGACACTAAACCACTTGGGGCAATGCTAGTTTGGGTATGAAATAAGAAAAGTATATTGACGTGGTAATACAGGGTGACACTGTTAACTAAATCTTTACTGTTACTGGAGATCTGGTCCCCTGAAAAAATCGAGGGAAATATTATGCTAAAGTTCAAAAACAAAACAAAGCCAAAAAGAGCTGCTTTTTTGTTTGTACTAAGACTTCACGGAATTGCAAACCTACAGTTCCTGTGTGAATGTGAGACTTCTTACTTCAGGTTTTTTTATGGTGAAGTGCATTGCCCCAGTCCTCTGGTACTCTCTGACAACCTGTACAAGGTAGAACAATAACTGAAAATTTCACTAATGGCTGCATAAGTGCAACCCTGTATAAAATAATATATTTTATTCCTGCAGTCCAGTGTTAATAGTGCAGGGCTTTGGAAACATAGGAAAGTAACTGAATCTTTAACAAAAACTCACCAAGAATCAAAATCTGTTCATTCAGAGATTCAAGATTGTAATGGGTCTTTTCTGGATACTGGTATTAGTATTAAAAACCTATGGGACCTGAGTACAAGGAGCACTTTGGAATCCTAAGACGGTAAAAGACTGTTGTCTTTTGAGCACAGATCAGCTTTGGATAAGAGTTTCTATGGAAAATCAAAGGTTTTTTTGAGGAGGAGACGATCAGTTGAAGTTGTCTGCTGAAATTAAAAAAACATAGATTTGAAATGTATTTATAGAGAAACTACAGTCTGGTTTCAGTGTCGTGGAAACTGCTGTTTCTCCTTTTGTATTCATCCTTTTGTCTTTAAAGATGACTTTGTTCCCTGTATTTATCTTAATAACTGTCTCTATGGGACTCAGTGTCAGAAGTCTTCTGGCCTTATAACTAAAGTCTGAGTTGCCCTATTTGTTTCCTTAAATTAGTAGGCTTTTTCATATCTATTTCAATTTCAGTGGAACAGTATTTTTGTAAACCTTGAACAGGCTGCTGAAACTTATCAAATACTCTTGTTTTGAAACCTGATGGATTCAGGCTGATTAATTTTCATTGAGTATATAAAGCTTGAAGAATTGATTGTGAAGAACACAAAAGAAGAGATTATTTAAAAGGAACTGTAATTATGTAGTACGATCCAATCTATTGTAATTGAATTATGTATTTGGATGCAGTAGAAAATTTACATGCATGTTCTTCAGGTAAAAGTATATGAATATTCAGTGTCTGAGGAATGGTTTTATGTTTACAGGTTCTCTGTTTTTTCCAAGAACTTCAATATTTCAGTATTTCATGGAATATGTTTCTTACTTAGAGTCTGCTAATCTTTGCTGTTAAAGCAGATTTTGTTAGTGTGTTTCAGGATCTTTTTTTTTTCCTATGTAATAGTGTGAGAAGAATGTGTAATCAGTAGTCAGAATAAAGATAAGTAGTTCTGTCATCAGCCAGACAATGTACATAAACTGCTGTTCAGGTACAGATGTAGTATAATATGGTTAAAATTGACCTATAGTTTCCCTTCTTTCTAGCATGTGCCTTCAGCTTGCTCTGTCAGGACTGCTGGAGTAGTGAGTGTGTGGCTCAAAGATCCCATAAATACTATGCTGAAATTATGAGTTAGATGCTTGTCTTAGGTGTGGGCATGCCATCATTACCTGGAGCTGAGATCACAGGCTGTGACAAAAATGAGAGCTTCAGGGTAAAATTTTACTTTTGCCTAATCTGTTCCCCAGCTGAACTCCTGCTGACTTTGCTTGTATTGGACAAAACAGTTGAGAATTTGCAGGGGAATTCTCTATCCCACTAGCAAGAAAAGTGTACTTGCCTTCTGTCACATAAGTTGGCTCTTATCGAGTGTAGTGGTACAGGATTTCTTGACACAGCAGAAGAGAATGAGGGGTTTTGTCAGTATTGTTAGTGAGAATGTGAATATGTATGCAGCAGATTGGTTGAATACATTCCTTAGTGTTGTTGTCTTAGTTACTGAAGTAGAAAGTCTTGGTCTAATCTTAGATGTTTAGAAATCAGGGGCTCTGTTTCTTCCTAACAATCATTTTGAAAAAAATATTTATCTAAATAGTTTTAACAGCGCAATGCAGTATTTTAATTTCAGAGCTTTACTCTAAAACAGAAAGGACTGTGAGTCAGTACTGATAAGCACATCTGAATTTTGTAACTTTAATTTTCTGTTCTTGCAGCTTTTATCCTCCAGTTGATGAGCCTTCCATTGGCACTGAAAAACTGGATTTATCTGAGCATCATGAAAGGAAAACAATATTCAGTGGAAAAACTTTTGTATTTCTATCTGCTAAGCAGGTAATCAGGCTTTACATTGCAAAAATATTGCAGGGGTGGCTAAGCACAGATTTGTTCTCTCTGAATTATGCACTCTCAGGCACATGATGTAACTCTTGGGGATGGTCCTGTGCAGGGATAAGAATTGGACTTGATGATCCTTGTGGTTTTGTTCCAACTCAGCATATTCTGAATTCACACTCATTCTGCGTTTGTTGGGAAAGAAGGATTTCTGTGTACTTATCCTACAATACAGTGGCCTAAGTAAGATGAAGTGTAGGGGAGAAACAGAACACAGTACATCTGCAGCAGTGTGTCAGTGACAAGCACTATGATCATAGTTCAGAATTCTGATGCTTCTAAGCTGACTGTATTTTAAGATTTTATTTTTTTTATTTGCAATCTCTTTTTAGCACAAGAAACTGGGTCCAGCAATTATTCTTGGAGGAGGAGAAATAAAGTTGATGACAGAAGGAAGAAAAGAAACACCTTTACTGATTTCTCCTGAAGTTTGTGTTGTTGATGTGGGTTTGACAAACTCTCAGATTGCAGGATCTGACTCTATGAGAAACTGGACTGATTCCATTCTGACTCTCTTGCAAAGGTGCAGCATTGTTTTCTTGTACAGCAGAAGGGTAATTTCAGAATTTCTGCAGAGACTTAGTCATGGTGTTCACATACGTATTTCAGCAGGAGGCTGCTTATAAAGGGGGCATTTTTTCATTCCTTTCAGTACTTAGCAGGACTAAAATTTCTTGAAGCAGGAAAGAAGAGACTTGGCAGTTCTGTGAGGATTTGATGGGGATATTGTTTCTTTTTCTTTTTTGGAGGATCCAGTTCTACAAAAATTCATTGTCATGAAGTTTCTTTGAAATTACAGACAGCAAATAGTTTTTCTTCTACTATTTAAAAGAAGTTAAAATCAATATAGTCTAAGAATGGAAAATAGATAATTATGATATTTCAATAAGTGTATGTACTTCATCAAAAAGAAATGAGATGGCACCTTGAGGTCGTGTGGCTCATCATTGTGTAATTATTTACATACAGTTTTTCTGAAGAGCAGCTTCTGTTTCATGAAAATAAGTTTTTGTTTTGGTGGTAGGTTTTCTTTGAGAGGGCAGACTGCATATTTTATATATTTTAGGATTTTCACTATGCCATTTTATTAAAACAATGAAAGAAAACATAAACCTAGTTTCCCTAAATTGTCCTAGTAGATAGAGAAGACTACTCAAACTCTTCTTATGGCTGCAGTACAGAGGAAGGAGGGGATATGGGGGGTGTGCACCTGACTTGTAAGAAGTGCTTAGATCTTTCAAGCCACTTTTTCCATTCACACATTTTTGAATCAGAGGGAGAGCACAGTTAGTTAGATGCCCAAAACTCTGGAAGGGAGAGGTGTATTGACCAGATTACTGGGACTAGACAGTGGCTAAAGGAGCAGGAAACATGGGAGTTCATACGTGTAGGGCATGGCTCTAATAAAGGATAATTATGCTGATTTACTGTATTGTGAAAAATTGTAGTGTAGGCTGAAAGGAGGAATGGAACATTTTGTACTTTGCCATACCTGTGCCCATTTGCCTAGTCATCTTTGAATATGTATTGAGAAACTTTTTTTTTGTCTTTTTTTTTTATTATTTGTATATTAACAGCAAGAATCTCAGGGCTATTCCAGAGGCAGAAATTGGATTGGCAGTTATCTTCATGTCTACAGAAAAATACTGCAACCCTCAAAAGCAGGCTGGTACCAACAAAGGTAATTGGAAGAAGGGTAGTAATAAGTTAACAGCCTTAAAGAGGCAAAATTTCTTTTTGTGTAGGGGCGTCATGAACAGCTAATGTTCAAGTTCTTTTGTTTTGCAAGACCACTAAAATGAAAAAAGTATGCAATGCTGAAGAGGTAATTGTTTTTTAGAGGTCTTACAATAAATTACAATGAAAATTACATGGCTTAGATGTAAATAAAAAGTAGATGTAAAATAGCATAAAAAGGAGATACATTGATCTTGAAAAGAAAGGTACTTCAAAAAAATCTTTTGAAGTCCATATTTGTAGTGGCCATTGAATTCATATGTATGTAGTAGTTTGAATTCCATGCTGTTCTATCTTTTCATACAAGACTGGGGTAATAGAGGGGTTAAAAGATCAATGTTAGAAGAGAATAAGAGTGGAATTAATTTGTAAAGGCTTGCTTTTTTTTTGTCATTGCACAAAAAGGAATTGGCTTTAGGAAAATTCAAGCACCTCCTACCCAATTCAAAAGTAAAAATAATCCTGTCAAAAGAAGTAAAAACAATGAGACACAATTGTCATATTAGCTAAAGTAATAGTTTGGGGGTAGACATTCCAAATTGTGACTTGAGGCTTGTATTTGCTAATGTGGTAGTAATAAAAATCTGAGAGACAGAAAAGAGGTTTTGTTTGTTGAAGTCTCTTTTCATGTTACTCTGTATTTTGTTTCTGTAAAATTTTCACAGTTATGTTTTACAGGTTCTCTTTGTTCTACGAAGTGTTGTATCAGGTAGCAAATCCTACAATTATTTTTAAAAAAATCAAAAGAAAAAACCCATAAATTTGTCTTTACATGTGGGAGCATTACTTTCTCTCTTCAAAACACATTTTTGAGTAAGACATACATGCAGTACCTTGCAGAGCCATGAAAAATATTTTGGTCAAATGATATTCTTGTATGAATAACTTGTAAATGATGTATTGTCTGAACAGTTAGTTTAGAAAATAATACACAATTCTCAGATTAAATTTTTAAAATTCTTACCCTGCAAACACTGAATGAATCAGAAATACTGACTTATTTCCAGTCTGAATGATTCAGTTGGGTAAAAGTTGTCATCTGGTTAAGTTGTGTAGGTGAACTGTATATCAGGCTTTTAAAGAGAGCTATGTTTACAACTGAAAAAATTGTATCCCACATACAATAATCATGTTAGAGAACACCATAAAGGAGTAAATGTAATTTTGTGCTTTGACAGTTTTGCATAAAATATGTATCACGTGATTTATTATGTATATCTGTGTTAATGTATGATTTCTCATTATGCTTAATTTTTTATTTAAGCAAAATTCCATTACTTAATTTAGTGGAATATTTGACTAAGGCTGAATCCAAGAACATGGTCCTTTGGAACTGGGTTTTTTTTTTCATGTTTTTTAAATTAATAAATCTGCTTAATTTTTATATTAAAATTACTCTAAGATAATTTTACAAATATCTCACCTGATCAGTTACTAGGGGGTGATAACAGGTGCGAAGAAACACAGATTTGGTATTAACCTGCTAATTCTTCTCTTGTGCTGATCTTGCAGCTGTAACAGAAAGTACTCCTGCATCAGGTGTTGTGGGCCGAGCCATTTCTCAGAGTTTGGCTGTGGATGAAACCATAATGCCAGCTGCTGCAGATAGCAGCACATTGTACATAGCTGATACAGAAGAGCAGACATGGTAAAGTATTCATGGAAATAGGTTCTAGTATTTGCAAATAAAGCAGTCTTTTGTGGCAGAGGAACTGTATCATTGGCAAGGGCAAAGATACACAGTGTTAGAAATGGCATTTACTAAATTGCTGTCACTTGTCTGCAGTGAGATAATTTCTGCTTTTGAGTGCTAGATAGCAAAATTCATCACACAGAACTTGCATCACTTTTGCAGATGCAAATATAGATACTGTGTATCTGATTTGACTGTCTTAACTGTTACAAATTTTCAAGCCATTTCACAATTATAAAAATATATTGATCATAGCAGATTTTACAGTTTGTTTTTAGCACATCGTTTATAAATATAAAGTACAGATACAGCTTTAATAAAAAGTGGTTTTCTCAGTGTGTCTCTGGTAACTTCCTGTGTGTCATTTAGTATTTTTTTTCTCTCTAATCTAGTATGGAGGTAGAGAATACTCCCCAGATGGATAAACAACGGAAAATGGCTTTCCAGGATCCAACCACCGTAAAGAAAAACACTAGGACAAGTGGCAGTGTAAATGCAGGAACAGCCATATTTAGAGGGAACAGAACATCTGGGTTGAGTCAAAAAAGTCAACCTGTCTCACCATCTAAAATTTCAGAAGCTGGTAAACCCAGCGAGTGTGCTTCACGTCACCAGTCCAACTCAATTACAAATTACTTCCAGGTAGCTAGAAAGAGGTACGTTGAAACGTTCTTGACATTGCTTCCCTTATTGTTATGTTGGTGCTGTTTCTGGAAACTAATTTTACTTCAATCAGTGTGCTTTCAGGTTGAAACATACTTAAAAAGGTAATCTTTTAGATCAGATTCCTAGAATGGCAAGCTTTTCCTCAAGAGTAATTTACATTTCACAATGCAGTCCCTAAAAGCCGAGGAAGCTGTTATGTTGCGGATACAGCTGGTCATACTCAAAAATGCTTTTGTACTTTCTTTCTGGCTAAGGGAAAGAGCTGAAGAAGAAGAGGAAACATCTGTACCCAAACTAGCAAAACTGGAAGAAAGGTCATCGCCTCTTTCCAAGTGCACTGAACCCACAACTTCATCAGTCTGGAATAGTGAAGCAAAACAGCATCAAAAGAAAAATAACATCCTGGACCCAAACCCAAATTTTGCATTAGAAGACATGGGTATAAAGCTTATGAGGGAAAGTGTCAAAGTAACAAGTGATAAAACAGACACTAAAACCACTTCGAGTGAAAGTCATGCACCACAGAAGAGAAAAGAGTTAGATGATTTATCTGAAGATACAGAAGCACTGGAAATTGTGTTTGGAAGTGGAGACCTGGACTGGGAAGATCAAGTGGCAGATCATGACCAGGAAGCTCAAGGAAATACACGAAAAAAAAGATGTTTGGAAGCCAAAGGAAGCAGGATTCAGGAAGTAAATGTAAATCAGAGACAGGAGAATAAAATATTGGTAAGTTTTATATTCTTCTCGTATGCCTAATCTTGAAATTTGCAACTCTGTTAGAAGGATGCAGTTAGCTCCTTTAAGGATGAGGCTGCCTGCATACAGAAAATGGCTTTGTAAAGTTTGCTTAAATTTTATACAACAATTTTCAGTTCAGAGTGATTAATCTATTACATGTGAATATTGCAATTTTCCACCTACCTAAATGTCTTTTTATCTTCAGGGCATTTTTTCTTTGTGAATTGAAAGCTGCTTGTATTCTGAAATCTTTCCTCTCTTTTTACGAGAAATACTGTAGGTAGGACAGCAGAATATATCCCTGGTCCAAGAAAAACTTCTCATATTTTTTGTTACTGTGTTAATCATAATGTTGACATTTATACTAAAATAGTACTCAATTACCTTTATGTCATTAATTTTCTGAAGAAACTTTCAGTTGACCTCTTCTGTTGAATACCACAGTAGTGTTCAGCAGAACAAGCCAGAATCTTTAGACATCATGTGAAAGATTATTAAAGTTCCTGTATGAGAAATTTTAGAACAAAAACCAAACCCAACAAAAACAACAGCAAAACCAAAACACAGTTTGTGTTTTCTTGAATATTGCTCTGGTTTTCTTTTTGAGACTAAGGGTATTTTCTGAGAGATATGAAGAAGACAACAGATTTTGAGTAAACAAAAAAACCAAAAGCAGATTTGTAGAGGAAAACAGTGTTGAGAGCGCTAGACTATTAATGGTGAAGAAGGGAATAAGAGAGAAAGAAAAGAACAGGTTTAATTTTTGTATATATAAAATGTATATCCTAAAGTGTCCAGTTCTTATATGGTGCAGGCAGTGTTTAAGTGTTTAAAAGTTTGAATATATGATTGAGTAACTGGAATTTGCAAGATGCTTTGGATCATGGGAGAATTAGTAATTGTCTGAGCATCCTTAGCTCAGACCAGCCTAACACTCTGGTGATGCTTAATTGGAGCTTGCTTCTGGCAAAGTGTGAATTTTAAACTTCATTATAATGCTGTTTTTTGTGTGTGTTACTAACAGGCAAATTTTAAGAGAAGAATCATATAATTTTAGAGAATTTTGCTTCTTACTCTTTATACTGTCAAATAGTAGGTGCTTTTTATTGGCCCTGACCATACTGAGAGACTAAAATTACTGCTTGCAATAGTCTATTGAATTTTGTTGTGGTCTGGAAAGATTTTTTTGTCCAACTTCTTGTCAGGATTGTGAAGGAAAAAATTCCTTATATCGAATTAAGCTGTTACTTTATCTGATGTGTACTTAATGACTTTTGCTGGCAAGAAGTCTTCTAATAGTTTAATTAATAAGGACCTATTTTATGCATGTAAAATATAATTTATGTGAGGAAAATTTGGTTTCAAGCTACAGGAGGTAATCAACCTGCAGAATACTTTGTTATCCTAGTAATAAAATGTCCTTTCTGCACACATGTACACTTAAAATATCAAATTGAAAATGCTACTTTTTACAGTTTTCAGAAACTGTCAGGATTTTGAAGATTATACAGATGGACAAAAATTGCTACTGGTATAAGAAAGAAAAAAAAAGTGAGAAAATACTAGTGAGTTTTTAATAGAGAAAAAGGCTAATGATTGTTAAATATACATAAAATCATAAAAATTTTAAAGTACAAGGCAGTTTTTCTTGTCTAAACATTTACATTTTTTGAAAATGCTTATTGCACTGTAAAGAGCAGAAAACTGTTTTTTTAACTATTTATTGTAATTAAATTTCCGTTTAATTTCAGTGTTTTATTTAAAATAATTTTTAATCAAATAGAAAGAAGAGGAACTTGGATCAGTTGTAACTTCAGAAATAAAATGTAAGATCAAGCAAGAGTCACCAGTCTCGGTAAGAAACCAGTTAATTTTAAGTTTGAACAGTGAACTTTAAGAAGCATTACAAAAACACATCAAAATTTTGCTTTTAAGAACATAATATTTGTGGATCCTATTTCAGAATAAAGGAGGTTCAGAAGACATACTCCTTAACATAATCATACATAAATTTGAATAGTACAGTCCAACTTACTGACTGTGAAAACCAGAGCACCTGTATTTCATCTGTGTGCTTCTGTAACAGCGTTTGGATGGTGCTTAAGGTGACTGAAACTACAGACACAATGTAATTGTATTAATCCTTCAGTGTTGTTAATGCTTGTACTGATGTTTTTGTTAGGTTGCTGCTTAAAGATCAGCCAAGGACATAATCTCCTTGTCTGCTCTAAGGAGATCACAACTAGAATGGAAGAGATGGACCATTGAGAAAATAGATGTAATATTGACTGATTAACAGTAGATAGCATGCTAACTTGTTATAGGGGAGGTGAAGGAAGAAACGAGAGGAGAATTTCTTGGAATGGCAGTGAGGCAGAGGAAAAGGAGATGAGGCTAAATGAAACTGGAATTGAAAAATTCTGAAGAGAAAAAGTAGAGTGTAGCCAGTCAACAAGGGGCAGAATTATACCTTTTTTTGCATACATACAGAGAACAGTCCAAGAAGAAGGAATGCTGTGCAAGGTCAGCTCAGATTAAAGGACTTTTAGTTTATACTTTGCTGTAGAAGAGCTGTACTGCATCTGGGCTGGAACTGTCCATAAAGATAGTTTGTTACTTGTGAACTTGTCCTGCGCCCACACGTCCTTTTTAATCCACAGAAATGTAGCTGCAGGCAGCAAAGTGTGCATGCAAACTTGCTGGCATAGGAACATTCTCATGTACGAGAAAAAATTGCTTCATTGATCAGATTCAGCTTACAGTCCTAGAGCTGGCCAAAAATCTGTAGGCTAGAATTGAGCTGAGGATGTTTAACTTTGTCTTCCATGGAGTTAGCTGGAGTTGCCATTGGAGTAAACATGGTTGATTGAATTAGTCCAGGTAAGAGACAAGGTGAAGAAGAGGAGAGAAGGAACTCTTAGATATTAGCTAATATGGGGGGAAAAAAGTCTTACTTTAAGTTTTATTCTGAAGTAAAATCATAGTGAAATGAACGTACACTGACTTCAGCATTGTTACTGGTCCTGTCTTTTCAATGTATTTAAATATGAGAGAAAATGTACTGAGCTCGCAGCTCTATCCATAGTATATAAGGAGCTGAGAAGTTCATACATGTTCTTAGCTTCTAGCACTGCTGCTGCTTCCCCTCACCCTTTCGTAATCATAATTTTTGTTAAACCCTGCTCATGATAATTTCCCTAAAGTTTATACTCTTAGATATGCTGTACGTCTGTTCATACACTTGAATGCTTCTTCCCTTTTCTTCCCCCATAAGAACTGTAGCAAACTGCAAGATGACTCCAGCAGTCTTCCTAGCAGGCTTCTGTTGACTGAGTTTAGATCACTGATTGTCAGCCGTCCAAGACAGAACAGTTGCCTTACTGCAAATACCAGCTATGGGGGAAAGAAAAATTTCAAAACCTTCAAAAAGGTTAGTGCGTATTTGAAATGGTCACAAGATGGCACTATTTAAAAATACTAAAAAGTGTTGCCTTGAGATTGTAGAAATATGTTAAAGATTTTTATTTTTATCTTATTTTTTTATAAATTGCTAGCTACAGAAAGAAACAGTTTAAATACCATATTATACTGTTAACTTTTAGGGAGCATGGTCTCATTTTTAGAAAATATTTTAAATTTCTGATATTATTTTCTGCTGTTTTGTAATAGATGCCTATGCAGTCGGACAATAAAATATAAAGTGATTTTTACCAATATTTCAAACTCCATTTGATGTACTATCAGATTTATTTAGCATATTTAACTTCTCAGATTTTTGTTGTTTGTTTCTTCTGGTAAAATGAGGGAGTTACAGCTTTCTGTAAATGCTTTTTTCACTTCAGTTGCTTTAAAATATGACCTCTGAATGTTATTGAAGAAAAGACTGGCTGACTTTCTTCTGTGATATCTGAATAGACTTTCTGAATTTCTCAGATCTTTTGCTTGTACTATGCTTGCCTTGTAGTTGTAATAATTTATTGTCCAACAGGTAGCTTATCCAGGGGCAGGACAACTTCCGTACATTATTGGAGGATCAGATTTGATTGCTCACCATGCTAAAAGGAATTCAGAGCTAGAAGAGTGGTTAAGGCAAGAAATGGAGGTAAGGAATTATTTCTTAAAGATGATCAAATAAAAACTTGACTTATGTAAGTGGTCATACTACCCTGTGGTTGTTACTGAAGTACTTCAGGATTTTATTTTTTAAATAAAACCTCAACCAGTAAACTGTCCACACGTGCCCATAGGAACATGTACTTTAGGAAAGTCACTGAAAGTCAGAGGTCAGTGGAAAGGCTCATCTTTTTGCTGATTATTTGAATTGATTTTATGCGTAACGTTCATATAATCAGAAATACTGATGTAAAGAAAATTCAGTAACCTAAAAGAGAATGACTTTTTTTGTAATGACCTGTTTTTGGTGAGCAAAATAAGCATTGTGGAAACTTGTGACTTGTAAAACGTGACAGGGAGATAGAAGGAACTTCTGTATGGTCAGCTGTGTTCAAATAGTTTTGCAGTACAATTGATACTCTACTCTTGAACAGAACAGAAAATACCTGAGTAAAATTCTGTTCTAGAAATATTCACCTTTATATGTAAAAGTTCTAAAAAAATATTGTTTTATCATCGCAGTTCTATAGCACTGTTTCCCAGTAGTTTCCTTCAAAATACTTGCTGATGAGTCATATACTGTTTTTACAGTCTAATTGGTATCCAGGTATAAATAATGCTAATTAACTTAGAACTTAGTGGAAAAACTGTTAGTGCAAGAATATATTGTGTTGCTATATGGTTCATTAGCTTCATCCTCAACAATCAAATATTGAATAAACTTACTTTCTCAGGAGCAGAACCGATATGCAAGAGAAGAATCACTTGCTGATGATCTCTTTAGGTAAGAATTTTATGTTTGTACTTAAAGAAAGTGTATTTTTTGCATCACATCTTTTTTTTTATTGGACAGATTTTGATTTTGTAAGAGACTACTTTGACTATTCTTTTCAAAATTCCACATATTCCCATGTAGGGAATATAGGCAAAGTGATTCAACAACTTAGCTTAAATTTTCTTATGTCTTAAACTTTTAATTTCATTCAGACTTGCTTCAGTTTTTTAATAAGAGTATTCTCAAACAGAAATGTTGCTATTTCCTGGCTGATATGCACAAGCTTGATTGTTCAGAAAGGCCAGAAGATGTTCCAGGGTGGTTTTAGAGCCTAATGAAGCATTTTGATCTTACCATTGTCAGTCATCTGAATTGTGGAAAACAAAATGATGGGTTCTGCCGCTGTTTCATTCTGGCCATGGCACTTGTCTGTCCCTGTGCTGAGTCACTTGAGGGAGCTAAAGCAACAGAGTACTAGTTCTGGGAAAAAGTGATTGGCGCAACTGCTTTTTCCTTTTTGGGTCTTTGAAGTAACGATTCCCAGAGTTTAAAGTAAAAACTAAAAAAAAAAACCCAAAAGATAAGTAAATCCTTCAGTATGCCCCCTCTGTGTCCCTTATCTTTGAGACTTTAAGCTGCTTTCAAACCCATTCACAACGAAAGAGCTCTTACCTTTTTTTAACTGTTAGAAACTCCCTCAACATTTTACCATCTTTCCAGTGTACAGACAGAGGTGGCATTTTGAAACGGATCATGCTGTGCTTTTGACAGTGTAGAAGAGTTATTGATTTTGCTTTAATCAGTTCTTATGTCACAGGAGATTTCTTTGATAGGCCCAGGTTCTCCTTGGCTGTTTGCCCTTACTTTTTGCCATTACACATTACATTTGCCTCTAAAATTCAGTCTGTTTCAGCAGTTTTCTTTCAATAACCTTCACTTCAGTTGTCTACCACTTTCCCTAATGTCTCTTTTGAAGGAGAGAATCATCCTGCTCAGTTAATTTCCTATCCAATTTACTTTCAATTGCAATCCTAATTTAATGATTTTTAACCCCTTTCTAATTAGAAAAGGTTTTAAGCCAAGTTTGCCACTTTATCCAGTTTTTACATCTGCAATGCAACCTTTATATATATATATATATATATATGTCAGTTATCATTTATAAAAATGTGATGCAGCTGAACTGCTGTGCTGGAATATTAACTGGCTTGAAATGTCTTGGTTCATTTTTGCCTTTCGAAACGCAACAGTGCAAACTTAGATAATTTGCATGCATGAAAGTTAATTCTAAGCATGAAGTTTCTACAGTCAAAAATATTAAAACACACAATTTAACATTCAGCAGTTTGTAACCTTCTAATTTTGACCTTAATCTCGAATAAAACTACTTGGCATAATGTTAACAGCTGCAATTTCCCATGAAAATGCATTTGAAGATGCCATTAGAAAGAGTCATGAAGTACTCCAGTGAGAAGATGAGCTAGAAAGAAAAGCTGTGCTGGGTACATACTGAGACAGAGGAGGAAGGGAAAGTATATTATACTATCTACTAACAGTACAGTTAAATGGATTATGTTCAGTAACAGCCTTTTGTGTCCTCCACTCCCTGTTCCTAACAAGGTCTTATGTTTCTTTGTGCATTCACTCTCAGTAGTGGATTCTCTGTAGTCCTTTTGCCTTTTCAGGCCATAGGCACTGTACAGTTTCAGATAATGTTGTTTGATGTCTTTCCCTCCAGAAAACAAATACCATCCAGGCTTCATTTAACATGGAAAATGGCTGGAGGTGAGGTGGAGGATATAACATGGAAAGACAGTTCATGACTGTCTGTGTCAGCATCTCTTTAGACGGTCACAGACAGGGTTGAAGCTGCTGTTATTCTGATGAGGGGTTTCCATCATGTATCATCCCCTTTTCCTATGTGCTTATCTTCCTGTCCCTCCCCCCTCTCCCCTTCCACAGAATTTGGTGCCCAGGACACATTTAGTTAGAACTAATGTTACAGTGCTACAGAAATAAAATCAAATAAATGGTTTGAGATTTAATATAAGGATCTCATTTTGTTTAGCAAAGATTTCGTTACTTTCTGTGGTTTTTATGTGAAGAAACAAGGGACCACTGTTTGACTTCTCACCTGCAATGCATTTGACTGACACTAAAAATTGTGCGTTTAGGTAGAAAAACATATATGGTGAAGAAGGATGTTTTTTTCAAATCACTATCAAAGAAACATGATACTACATATCAACACATTCAGAAAATCTTAACATTAACAATTTGCTCTGTTAATTAACAGCTAATGTAGAGCATCTCTTTCAAAGGGTATCCATTTTATTTTTGTCAGAAGTCTGAGTTGTATAGGAACAACAGTGACTTCTAATAACCTTCCAGCTATGTGGTGATGTAATTTGGCTCACAAGTTGTTGCATTTTCCTGCCTAAGCAAAAAGTCTTGATGAATGAGAGCAGAACTAGTGGAAGTAAAACTGCCTGATCATTCAGTTGTGTCCATAAGTTATTCATGCATGAGTACAAAACACATCAGAATTTCAAAGAGGCGACATAGGATTTTGAGTGATGAAGCACAAATGAAGACAAAGGGAAGGCCAAGGGATAGCAGTGTCAAGCAGAGGCAAACTCTAAGCAAATGACAGTAAATCAGGTAACTATTTAGTATATCCAGAAAGTAGCTCTAAATTTCTAACAATCAATCTGAAACTGATTGTTAGAAGGTAATAAAGGGGAAGGTAAGGCAAGGAAATGTTTTATGTAGGAGTAGGAAGCAGCAGAAAGGTTTTGTCTGAATGACTTGTGGCCAAATGCTGTATATTAGTGTGAATATACAGTAGCCCTTTCCCCTCCTCCTCTTTTGGTTTTTGGTGAGATTTTTTTAGTAAGGAACTTAATGTTGGGTCATTAAAACTTGGAGAAACTTGTTCATGCATCAGATTTAAAGATTATAGGTAGCTGGGAAGTCAGTGAAAATTTTATTAAAGGTTATCTCTAGTTCATGCACAGGTTCTACCTTACACATCCTTCAGTCAAATAGTAGCAACTGTAGCTAATTACAGGAGTGTAGTCAGGGAAAAGATTGAACACTGTTGTAAGTACATAACAAAGCTATTTACATCATGTTGTTAACTTTTTGAATATCATTAACTTATTTGGACAAATTTTCTTTTTTTTTTTTATTGCAGATATGATCCTAATGTGAAAAGGAGAAGATAAATTGTGACCTGGATTTACAGTGTTTCTCTAGCAAAACCTGCTTTTCTGTTCCTTAGGTTTCTTGTGTTACAGTGTGTATGATGTTCCTACATATGACCATTTGAACTATCTATTATTGTAAGACTTGTTTTTTAAGTCTTGCTCTTATTAAAGAAAAAGAAAAATTTCTTTCACTGCTTAATACTTATGGATTGCACATTTTCAAGACTAACACTACTTACTTCAGAGTAATGCTCAGTAAAATACTGTAGATACTTAGGATTTCATTTTAGGCTATTTCTAGTGTTTGCTAATCAGTACTGTTTTGGGGGAAAAAAGGAAGTTACCATCAGGCTGTGTTTTATTTGTTTTGTTTTTTTTTTTTTTTTTTAGAAAGGCTTTGTTAATTAGGTATTTTCACGGGTATTGTCTTAAGAATTGGAAGTCTGATGAGAAAGACTGAAATGCAGCTGATACTTGATCATGATAGCTTTCTCTGTGGTTCATGATTTACAGCAAGTACTGTTGTTACTGTTACAGAAGATCTTGGAACTGAAATATTTTCATTTGCAACTTTAAATCGGTGTGTGTGAATGTTCAGTTCTTAAAACCTACTTCCAAGCCAGAGAAAGTCTTCAAGAGCTATTGCATTCCAGTTTGGAATTTTAATTATTTGACCCATTTCTTTCTCTTGTGCCTTTACTTTTTGCAATCACTGTGTGAATATATGGCTTCAAAACATCTACACATTCTTGGGTTACGAGACCTCATTTTAATGATCTGAGAGTTTGCAATTTGAGAAATTCCCCTGGAAGTACAGTGAGGAAACCCTTCCAGACTTCTACTCAGCTGTATGAAGCGATCACATGCAGATAAAAATGAACAGTAGCTCCACTGCATCCATTTCAAGAGGCAGGATGGTAGGATCTCCTTCTTTATGTGAGGAAGTAATTTGGTTGATGTAACTGAATTTAAGTACACAGAAACAAAACTACTTCCTCTGCCAAGAGCTCAGAGCATGCAAGCAAGATGAGCTGAGCTGTTTGAAGATGCTCCGTTGTGTATCAGATTTGAAAATCTGTGAGATCTGTGTATATCAAGATAGCAGATATGCTGAAGTCAACATGGTTGCAACATGCAGAAAGTATTTAGTCTTCAAGAGTCAGTGTTTCCTCAGGTCTGAATTGGTATCTTTTTGATCACCTGGTCAGTGATGTCCAGACTGTTACACAGCACACCAATACTGCTGAGTTATGCAATAAGCCACAACACTAGTTTGGTATTGTAACTTGCATCAGGGCACATCAAATCTTGTCCAAATCTTTAAAAAGACTGCTCTTAAGCAGCTGAAATTCTTGCTGGAGGTGGTGACTGACTGCAGTTTGTTGCACCCTCAGGTGAGTTTTTCTGCTGTCACAGTGAGAATCTCCAGGTTTTCTGGTTGAAGACCCACTGGTCCAACAGAGCAGCTCTTGTAGACTGCTGACGTTTTTCATTACTGTGATTAAATATCAGTGGACAAGATTCTTCAGAAAGGTTGTATTTACAGTTGCAAAAAACAGAACTTGAGAATTTCCAAGGTGAAATGACAAAACATACAATGTACAGAGGCCTTCTATGAGAAAGTAAAGGCCAAGTCCTTTGCTCCTCAGACCTGCAGTCTGCTAGGGTTCAAGCAACCCTGGTGGCATAGCTGAGAGCACTCTTCTGTTCACTTTTTATGATTTAGGACTCTTCAAATCCAGTTCCCCAGACAGCTGAATTTAGGTTTTCTGGTTTATTTAGTTATTTAAGAGTTGGACTTGATGATCCTTGTGGGGCCCCTCCAATTCAGAATATTGTGTGACTCTGTGTCCCAGGACTGATGGACTCATCCCACGATGTGATGGGGAGCATCCACAAACCGTTGTAGATTTCTTCATAGATCTAGTTTGAGATGTCTTCTCTGTATCAACATTTCCAACATCAGATTTCTTTGCAGTCTTTCACAGGCAGCTCTGTGGTCTCTAGAGAGTAGAGAATTGTGGGGATTTCCACTGTAGTGCTGAGAAAAAAAAGAGCCTAGGATCAGCAGTTGGGTAAAGGTACACCCAGTTTATGTTCCTGTTTTGGGTCTGACTTGAGGGTGCCTAGTAGATGATAGTTTGGTTTGTAATCCAATTGCAGCTGCTGTCTGGTTGATGAGAAGCCTGTACATTAGTACACTTGAGCCTTCTGCTATTTCAACATGAAGTTATGCTTGCATCCAAAAAACTTAGACATGGAAACCTCTACCCCTTAGCCATGGTTTGAATTGTAATTCCAAATTCAGGTCCTATTCATAACTCTGAAGTCTTTCTTCCATTTTAAATTACTTTTGTCACAATTTTCAGGTCAAGACATTAGAGGAAACATACTTCTTGGCTTACTGGTTTGGGCCTTCTGTTACTGAAGTTTCTGAAGTAGATGATAAAGGACATGATTACATGATCCAAGTCTTGGGAGCCTGAACATCCAATAAATCACATCAGTATTTGCCTTACCCCTGTAGATATTGCATTAACTTCACCTAATGTTCCCTTTATTTTATAAAACATACTGTTGTGGGCTAACTCCAGTAGGCAGCCAAGCTCCATGCAGCCACTCACATGCTCCCCCACAGCAGGATGGGAGAATCATAGAAGTAGAAATGGGAAAGTGGAAAAACTCGTGCATTGAGATACAGTTTTATAGGTAAAGCAAAAGCTTTGAGCACAAGCAAGGGCATTCAACTTTGTATTCTGCAATTCAAAAGTTTTGCTGTATGCTCTGTTTTCACTCTGGAGCTTGTACTCTGTGGTTTCAACAGTAAGTTCAGTTTTCAGAGAGAACTTGTGTGGTGTTTATTTTCTTTAGGTTAAAAAAAGTTCAGTAACTCAGAGATGGTATCTAAGGTTTCTCTCATCTGCCACAAACCACAGTCTGCAAGCATACTCACCATTTTGCCAAAATTATGTTTTTCACCTGAACATACATCTGAGCAGAAACTTCAGATCTCGTTTCTTGCATTTTTGTGTGTAATGCCGTTTGAGGGTTTGTTTGGTTTGGGTTTTTTATAACATTTATTATCTTTGTTGCCACTGCTCACAGGAAGGAGATGCACACAATATATAAACTAAATATACTTTTTATTAGCAAGGCTCTTAAAATACAGTCTTGCATTCAGCAGCTTAGCTGATGAAAACAGTTTAAAGCAGATTGAATTACTCCATTTACCACTAAAACCAAGGATGGATACTGTATCCCTGCAGGAACAACATGCTTAATTTTCTGCTTATTCATAGTAGTTTCAGCTGACTTCCCGTCTTTCCCACATCAACTGGGGAAGCCACTGCCTTTTTATGGCAAGACTACCACAATATTCTCACTGTTGAAGTCTGATTTCTATTTCTGTCCATTCATATCTGTGAGTCTGCCCTTTTTTCTCATACCTGTAGTCCCCACAGTGGGGCTGGTGCAGCAGGGCTGGCCTCTTGTGGATCATTGCACCAGTTCCCATATGTGGAATGTGTTTGCTTCAGTTTCTTTCATCCACTGACCACCCCATCAACTTCCTCTAAAGTGCTAGGTCATTGCCTTCACCCCCGATGTGTCTGAGAGGCTTTATGCCACATATTAATTCCTGAGACAGTAGCTGAAGCTTCTGCTATAGACCTACCTCCAACCCTCTCCCACCTCTCTCTCCAGTCCATATTATACAAGTGATTTCTCAGTCCTTATTTTTCCTGTTTTTCTCCCTCTCTCATAAAACTGGAGGGAGTTTTGCACCTTCTTCACCTGCTCTGTTCCATTTCTTGTATTGATCCTTAGTCACATTTGGCCACACCTGGTGTTTCATTCACAAATTCCAGTTGTGTTCTGGTTGTTCTGGTATCTCCTTAGAACTCAAGCCAAGTGTGGTAAAACATGAACCATATTCCTTACCATTATTCCTCTTCTTCCTCTTAAAATCTTTGACAGCCATTACCACATTCCAGTGAGATAGTTAAAAAAAATGCGACACAATATCAGATCTCCCTAACTAGCAACTTTCCCTGCCACTTCCTTTAGCTCTCTGCCCAAACCACTCTGCCACAACCTTGACTGCTGTTATCTCTGTCATTGGCTACAGCAGCAGGTCCATGCAAACCAATGCCTTCTCCCTCTTCCTGAACACTGCAGCTTTATGAATGCCTCTTCCTCCCCAGTTTGTTCTTTCCTTTGACTTACTAGTTCCCCACTTCTCAAAACCAAAATAATTGACTTCTAGGTGAAACTGTTTTAATATTTTGCACGTTCAGTCCACCATCAGTTTTCACACATGAAGATAAAACAAGCTTGGCATGCAAACCTCAGGAATGTTTGTTGTCTAATCAAAGCTGAGATTTTGCTCATGAGTTGCTTGCCGCTGACAGCAAAAGTTCTGTACACATTTACATTGCTCATCTTAGAAAAAAATAGTATAACCCAAACATACTCCAGCAAAAGCAGAAAACTGAAGCACTGACACACACAGAAATGACTTTTACATAGTGTTTCCAAGCTCAGATGCATTGTGTGTGAACATGCACATAGGTAAATGAATATAAGCCTTTATCTAATTTAGAACTGGAATTCCACAACAAGCATACCAGGACTAAGAGAGAAACAGGCAAGATCTTTGTAAATTGTGCCAGGGAGATGTAAGGTAGCAGGATCAGTTCATGAACAGCAATAACTTGATGTTCACATAGAAGCTGGTCTAGCATCCAGACTGGTGAAAAATGAACCATTTCCCTCTCCTCAGAGTATCCCTTGGAACTGTATCAAACCTCTTTCATCTTGTCTCTAGCTTTGTCTTTGTGGACGACTATTTTTTTCTTTATATACCTAGTTAAAAAAGAACCTAAAAATGCCGGATGCTGTAATATTCTGTGAATATATACCAGTCCTAGCTGTTAATTTTCTTTATGCTGGCATGTAAATCTAGAGAGGGTGTCCAGAAACATGAAGCTGAATTTTAGTTTATTGAAGCATCCACTGCAGGCAGCATAGGCTGGTACTTACACATTGCCAGTGATCTCAGAATAAAGAGATGGGAAAGTGCAAATTAGAATAATTTAGTCTCCAGAACAAGTAGTTTCCTGGTTTTGATGACTCCTGAGGACCACTAAGTTTTAAGAGTTGGCTTAATGTGCCCTGAAAATACAAAATCATTAGTTATAAAATGAGCTAATAGGCAGACAGGTATAATGTGAACTCAAGTTCAAGGTTTGCTTGAGATTAAATGTTCCAGTGTCTACAAAGACAAAGCTATCTCTACAACAGTGCTTAGCTTCACTGTGACTAAATTATACTATAAATTATTTTCCCCCCATAATCCTTGTTCCTTACACCAAATTCATCCTTGACTGCACAATTCCCTGTGTAATTCAGGCTTCAGAAATTAAGTGAAACACCTAAGAGTAACAGACACTCTTTTGCAGAAAAAGAGCGCTTTATAATTCAAGTCTTACTTCAAATTTTTACCCCTAATGCCACCAAAGCCTTCCTTTCTCTGTCAAAGATGTTTTAATTTCCATTGTTTCTGCTAAACAGAATCAACTATTATGGTTATTTCAAACAAAGCATGACTTTTCTTTCAGGTTGGGCAAGGGGAAATGGTGGAAGTACAAAAAACTCTCAGTTGAGTGCTCCCAACTTGCTCTCACCTTAAAATAAGAATGGAAAATTATGACAGAACATTGTTATTGTAAGACTCTAAAATATACTCTAAATTAAAATATAACAGTATAAACCTTTTTTTGTTCCATTTTTTTTGTTCCATAACTTACTTAGAATTAATCATTACTACATGGACAATAATGAAATCGAGTTTAAGGCATATGTGTATTACGTCTTGCTGTTTAGAAATGTTTGGGAGCACTGTACAGCCCCAGATCCTGTTATAACATGAAGATACCTGCTTGCTTTCTTAGAGGGTAGAAAATACGGTAGCAGAGCAACAAAGCCTTATCTCTTGGCACACCACCTTACTGATCAGTCCTACAGCTCAGTGAGCAAATACAATTGCTTGTAGTCTGTATGTTGCATTTCAGTGCACTTCAGTTAAACACATACAGCAACACGTAGGATGACCAGCTGCGGTGCAGAGCTCTGCAGTCACAGTACACAGATCCTGACCCAAGAGGATGGGACACCACCAGCCTGTCAAAGCTGTGTGGACACACTTCAGCACCCCTACATCTGCAGTTCAGATTGCAAAGGTTCTTTGCAGCTTTCCTCCCATCATTCCTCACTCGTCATTCTTGTCATCAGTGAATACTCACTAGCAGTTTGCAAATTTTACACCCTTTCATTCTTTCTCAAGAGCAGTTGGCCTAAAAATGGCCTTTTCTTTCAACTGGATATGCAGCTCAGGCTTGGCTCTTAAGTTTGGGTCTTAATCCTCCAGTTTTGAGTAAGTACTCTGCATTTCTAGCTCTAACCTTTTCACAGTTCTTGAGCTGCGAGAGAAAGAAGTTACAGCCACCTCCTCCAACAAAAGTGCTGAGGACTAGGGACCGACTAGGGACCTAGAGCTGTGGGATGCACTTTGGTGTCCCTTACTCGGTGTACAGCCATACACATTCCATGCATTCACTGGCAAGCCCAGGCTGCTAGTCCAAAGCAATACATTTTCCTGAGAGAAAAATTCTGGTGTTATTGTCACCACTCTCTGGATTACTTGCAAAAAGGATTTCCGCGTTTACTCATCCGAGTTAAACTTAGATTTACTCCTTTCTGGAAAATGTTTTAAGCAGAATTCAATCAAAAGAGGCACCAGAAAGGACAAAGACTGTTAAGGAAATCTACTATGACAAATCGTAGTCCCAGTTCAACAGCTGGATACTACTTAAAATAATCTTAGCAATAATTTAACTCTCAAACACAGTCACAGCATTAAGAATCAAATCCAAATGTAAGAGATGTTTTTCCACTAACCTACTAGCAAATACATAGTATGGGTTAAGACAGCTTCACAAATTCTCTAAATTCAAATTAAATTATATTCTTCCTGTCTTTTTTTATTAATAAAGCTTAAGTAGGAAGCATCCTTTTAAAATCCAGGATTTTTAAAAGCTTATCTTTCTCACTGAAAGAAGAGCTGAAAGAAGCAATCTCCTTTCTGGGAACTATTAAAACACAGAAGTTCAAATGTTTGTGGTGTTTTTTTTAAATCGGAGAAACAAGGTGTTTCCCCAAAAGACAACAACTCAGTGCCAACATCTAATTCACAATAAATGCAGCGCTTTAGGTAAAACTGTCTTAAGGCAAAGCTTGAATTTTTGCATCTCTTAGTCCCTCAAAATACCAAAGAGGAGAGAGACACAAATTTTTCTCAAAATAAGAAACACAAAAGTGAGAAAGTCTGGCTACAATTTTAAATCTAGCAATTCCTAGAAGAAAGAGGATGATCTTTTGGTAAAGCTTTGGTTCAAAAAAGTATCTTTATAACGGCTTAATAAACATTAACACTGAGAAAATTTCTCTGCCCACCTAAGCAGTCTCACATGCAACTTTTTATCTCAAAAATGATAAGATTGATAAAAAGAAAAAGGCAATTAAACCTCAAGGTGCCGTAAGACTGCAGTGAAAGATAATAATCTGTAATAATAAGTCACAGGTCACAGATCTCTGCTACAAATTTGCCACTACAACACACACAGCTTGTTCGCAGCTGCAGCTAGAAATCCGGCTGCTTGAAGCTTTCTTCCCTTTTTTGCAAATTAATTCTTTAAGTAAATTCTTCCTTTGTTTTGCTGGCATTTTACACGTCTCATGACAAATGAAAAAGCAGTAATGTCACAGTATGTTGTATTTGGATATTTATATTGACACAAAACTGAAGGAATTTAATCACAGTGCAGGTGTAGTCCCAATAAGTTCTATAATCAAGTACTTTGCACTTGTAACCAATTCTCAGTTAAAATTATTAGATATCACAGGTTTAGAATAGGTTTCTATATATACAGCTTCTGCCAAAGAAGGCAAATTACAGAATCTCAATTGACTTGAGATAAGCCTAGAATTGAATAAGTGAATAAGCCTAGAATTTAGCATAATTAAAAACAGCTCAAATATCAGTAAAAAAAATTTTCATAACTAGTATCGACAATGTATGATTAAAGCCAACCACGTGGGCAATGCAGAAATTGATGGAAATGTTCCTCTGTGTTTATTTTAATGCTATTAAGTGGCTCTAAACTAAAATTATTATTAGTAGTATGTCATAAATTGCTTTGGACTTCACTGAAAGTAAGTAAGTTTAATCCTTACATACTGTACCTTCAATTTCTATGTCCAAAGTCTGAGTAACTTACTCAGATGCGTAAGGGCCTGCAGTAGCCACAGAACCCTGTAATTCAGCAGGCACAGAAAGCAGGCATGAATTGAATACAGGTATATATAACTTATGAAAGTTAAGATAGCTGGGAAACCAGCAAGCACTAGCAGTTTCACAAAGCCTAAGCCTTATTTCCTTTCTTAAATCTGTCTAGGCTCTAATATGAAGATTTTTAATCATGCAAACACAATACCTTGAACTAACATGACATTCTTTAACACAAAAAAAGTCCCAAACAAAAAAACATCTATTCCATCACATTGGACGTTTAGTAATAAATCAGTTGAACCCAAGCACTTTTGTCTATTGAGAGTTCTGGAAGTTCACTTTTCTAACTAGCTGCTGATTAACCTCACTATGGTGGAGTGTGTTTAGATAAACTAAATACTCTAAAACCCAGCAAATGAAATCTAGGTCTTACATAATGGAGCAGAAGGGTGAAACTTGGATTCAGAGGTAGGTACAAGTTGCCTTTATCTTTCATGACAAGCTCTAAGATTTAAAGAAACTATGGCACGTTTGTTTTGAGTTTGGTTTATTTTTTCGCTGGCTGTGAGATAATGACCCTTTCTTAAGTTTCAAAAACTGCAGGATAAAATATTTTACAATTATGTGCTGCTTTATAAAAAAAGAAAGAGAAAAAAACAATCCTTGGTCAAACAGGAGATGAGAATATCTATCACCCAGCCCACCTTCATCAGCCAAGTGATCCCCTTCAGCCTTCCTGAGCTAGGAAGCAAAAAAATCTTTAGTTTTCTCATGTACTTAACTTTTGATAGTACACTAGATATTCACTATATTGACACTGTAATAAGAGCACTTACATCAGTACTTTATTACTGTTTATGTTAATGTGTATTCTCAGAAATGTTCATATCACTGTAGGGGAACATGTCATGGTAGTCTTTGTGTATTCACCAACTCTAGGCATAGTGTGAAAAAACATTAATGAATTGTGTCAAATCATTGTTAAAGATTAAATGGGAATGCTTATTCTTTTATTCCAATTATAAGGATAACTTAAAACTATAGAGGAATATTTGCTTACAGAAAGCGTTCTTACAATAGAAACCATTTTACTAAGTGCTCATTCCAAGTATTACTGTAGCAAATAAACAGAATCCTTGTTTCGAGCAGAAGGCTCTTAATTTGCTTTGGGACCAAGAATCACCTTGTACTAAACAAGCTTTCTGCTTTTAGAAGTTACTTTAATTTCATGGTAAGAGTGCTTTTGTCACATTGGACACTAAAATATAAAGCCACTCTGGTAGGCATTGCTTTTCCCAAGGAAATCTGCTCTCGTAGCTGAGCAGATGACAGGCAGGTCAATATAAGTTAGTCTAGTCTCATTTTCTGTTTATCTGGAAATAATTCCAGTTGAAATAAGTTGAAATAGCAGATCAAGTTTTTCTATTTTGAAAGGGTGAAGTATTGTAGTATCAGCATCCTTTACCAAGCAATACAAGCGCAGGTTACTTGCACATGACAGAAATGAGACTGCTATCAACTTTCGCTGCCAGTGACTGTTCTGTTAGACTACATCTGTAATCCTGGATGTGAAAATTTCTAATGTCTCATTTATGGTACCCCATCACCTCCTCCATCCCCACTTTCAATCAATTCATGTTTCTTCTTTTGTCTTATTGCCAAGCATCGTGCAATGCCCAGTGCACCTCCTTTTAAAAACCGTACAAAGTTGTCTCCCACCAGAGGACCTAGAGCAAAGAGGTTGGCTTCTTTAGTGCATTCATAAGTGTATGGATCAATCTCTATAGGATTCCCCTTGCATGTGATGGGCTGATTAGAGTGACGACCTATGCTATGTCCTTGGTCCTTTAGAAAGAAAAGATTTGGGTGAGAACCTATCAGAACTAAGGCTACAGAAAACTTTAAAATTTTCTTCAGTCCAGAGGCACTCTGAAGAACACATTTCATTTCAGGCTTGAAGGAAAGTACGTTGTGTTCAGGGAAACTAGTGTAAGCAGAATGTTGGTTAGAGTCCACAGTATGGGACTGAGTACACATCATATGATACACCTTATGGTATTCAGGGTAAAGCTTTTTAGGTAACTGTTTGAAAATTAGGCTTGTATCGGTAACTCTTCTACGAAACACGTGGATTACTGGGATGTTGTTGTTACAGGCACAGAGTACTGCATCAGCTGCTGTAAGTCCAGCACCCACAATTAACACAGGGTCTGCCTTCCCACGTAACTTTCCTTTGCTGATTGCAGCTCCGAAGTCAGACATGGAATGGAGGACAAAAGGAAAGTCTTCTCCTTCAACTTGTAATCGGCCAGGAGAATCAAAGGTTCCTGTGGCAAGAGCCACATTCTCAGCAAAGAGGCAGAAGGGCACATGAGAACCATCTGTTGCTCGCTGATAACCTCTGACTTCCCAGTTTCTCTTAGTAAGTGATTTCTGTCCATCTTCCATTTCCAAATGCTGTGTTGAAATATCTTCATTTCGCTGACTTCTGTCTTCATCATCCTTTCCTCGGTAAAGTCTGGACACTGATGTTATGTAAACATTGTCTCTGAAATTCTTTTGGAGGCCCATGACTTTAACATAGTGTTTATAATAACAAGCTATTTCCTCTGGCATTACTCGATCACTCTTTATATTTCTGAAACAAAATTGAATGGTTCCAGTTAATATACAGACCTTATTGGTAATCTGAATATCATATATGACATGCCACAAGACAAGTCAAATTTATGAGGATTAAATCTGTCAGTGTAACTGACACTGAGTTCAGCATCTTTAAATGCATTTGATTTATTTGTTGTCTTGATTCCTGTTACACAATATAAGGTAGTGGGTTTTTATATAGTTAAAAGTCTTTATACAATGTAAAGTGCTATGGTGATTAACTAATCAGGTATAACAAAGCTCTGCAGCATCATGGTACCTCCATATGGAAATGTTTTATAAAGACAGTTTAACATCACAACTATCAACAATACAATACTGGCTAAACCTGTACTCAGTGAGAATACACTTACTTAGGATGTAATTAGTAAAATATCATAGTTAAGTGCTAATTTTGAAACTCTATGTTCAATACCTTACTGGAGCCAGGTATTTTTCATTATAGTTTGCAAAAGACCTCTCCTTTGCTAAGTTCACTAAGTATCAAATGAAGTACTTCCGTATCACATGAATGCATAAAGCAAGTATGGCTCAAGAGTGTTACTGCAACAATACAAACAGGATTGTGATGTTGAAGTGTCCAATAAAAAACATTTTTGCACTGTAACCCTGGTATTACATCTATGCTTTTTTCATGTTTATTGCATTCTCATTTATAAAAAAATAAGCTGACAGTATAATTATTTGGAACAAGTGCATGAATTTTGATGCTTCTTTAGAAGTAAGCTCTAGGAAGAAGGCAAAATAAACAACAGTGAACATCAGGACTGACATTGAATTACACTTAAAATCTTATAAATAAGTACTCATTCTCATAGTCTAACAGAATAATAGCATATGTACTTTTAAATGCTCAGGTTACTACTGTGAAAATCCTCATGAGGTATTTATTGAAGAGCATAACATGACAGTGTGACACCTCCTACAAAGAAACTTAGGAAACTAATGACTAGAAATTTTCACTAGCATCAATTCTTTTAAATATGTTTGTTTAATTGTAGTATAACAGGTCAGCATTTCTGGTTTTAGCACTGTCAAAAACTATAAAATAAACAAATTAGCTTCTGATAATAAGCAGCTTATGGGATTTCAGTTAGTAAGGAAGCAAGATTACTTGGTTATCTAAGAAAACAATTAAAGAACAAAGGTACAGTTTCTTCACTGTAAGTGGTGTCCTGAAATGAGTACAGTCTGCCCTTAAAGACATATGCCTAAGTAATTCTACTTCTTTTCCCATACACAGTACTAGAAAAATTTCTTTTATATTGATAGAACAAAGTCAGAAAAATTAAAATTTTAGAAAAAGCTTACATAGAGTGTTCCTAGGTTCATTTGCTGACACAGACTTTTATGAACTAATTGTATGACTGAAGTAAATTTTCTTCTCGTTTTTTTCAAGAAACTTACTACCAGAAAATAACATTGTGAAATACTGAATTATGCTCTTAAAATTAAAATTCATATATAACAACTTTTCAGATGTTGTTCAGCTTTGTCTGTAAAAGCAAATACTGAAATGTACAACTTCCTGAATTACAAGAAAGCCAGTGTCCATAGCAACTTGTTGCATCTGTGTTGAAAGAGGAACTTGCAATACTTCTGTAGATTTGAAATTCCTTCCTCCATCTTCCCTCAACTCTGATCAGAACTGCTTTCAGTAACAGTGCCTCTTTGTGAAATGCTGCTAGTATGTATGCTTTCGGTGCACTCACAAGCAATTACTCTGCCTGACCATTGTCCATTTTTTTTCCATCAGAGCACACACCACCAAAAGAATTTCCAGTGCCATCAGGCAATTTAACAAACAAAACAAGAAGCCCTCCTGTGAACAGTGAAGTTTGAATGTTTTCCAGTTCTTCAAATAATGTTATCTGGATTTTTATAGCAACTAGGATTCCCAAACAGATTAAGCAATCCCTACCTGCGTTTGCTAGCTGCCCACTCCTTAAAGCTGAGGCCAGGCAATTCCATCCAGTCTCCAAAACTGATGGTTAGCATAGAGCCTTCCATGGACTGTAGTGAAAAAATGAAGATGCATAACCAGACACATTTCAAATGCATACATTTATGTAAAAAACAAAAAAGTTCTTCTCACTGTACACTCATTTAGAGCAATAAAATACTAGAACACAACAGAAGACCAGGACATTACATGAAGCACTGATGAACTACTTCTGTGTTACAGTTACATACTGTTTGAATGAGCAACTACATGAGCTAATAGAGAAGGAAGCAAAGAGACAGCATGTGAAAGGGAAACTAAAAGCAAATTATTTAAAACACAAAAGAGGAAGAAAAACATGAAACCAGAAGCATATAAAGACATCAAGATTTTATATAAAATCATCTGGGAACAATGCAGACAAGAGAATAAAGGTTACAGAAAATATTCTTTATTATAATTTTATAATTCAATAAATTTAAACTAGTAAAAAACTAGTTTAATATAATAATAATATAAGACAGCAGTCATATGCCCAAATAAAGGACAATTTTTTCCTTCCTTTCTTACTTCTGCAACATATTTGGGCTTGGGTAAACAAGCAGTTGAAACTACAACTGGCATTACCATCTAAAACAGAGAGTAAAAGACAGTAAAAAAATAGAAAGTAAAAAAAAAAAATAAAAATTAGACAGCAAAAAAAATCCCAAACCACAAAGTTATCAAGTTAGCCCAGAAGTGATATGAAATTTTTACTCACATGCCAAGCCCCGCCAGGTGGTCCTTTACCAAGCACTATATGGGGAATGTAATTATGTTGTTCCAGCTTCCAGTGCAGAACAGGTGGGTAGTCATACCCAAAGTCAGCATCGGGATGAAGCAACGTATCAAAAAGTACTGCAACCGGGTTTGAAGAGCGTCCTTCGAGGCCTTCGGACAGGTACTCCAGGTCCTGAAGTACGAAAAAAATGTGACATGTTCATGCAACTTCTACTCTTCATCATGCTGTTCTGGCATACAGAAGTTGAATTGAAACACAGAGCACAATTAATTCAAGTTGCATTTTAAGTAGAGATAAGTATTTTATGTAGAGATTCAATCAAAATACTTTTCAGGAATAACTGCTATTATTCAGTTCTTCTGTAACTCTGAATAATACATTTCACTCATTTAAAAATTACATATTAATAAACCAGTAATACTTGGGCAAGTCAGTGTTTGAAATTCTTTGTAGAACAAGAAGCAATGGACAAACATTAAGAGATCAGAGCAACTTAGTTATATATATATATATATATATATATATATATATATATACACCAGACTGCTTTTAATATTTTTAGGAGCCCCATTTTGATCAAGCAAAATTGGAATCTAAAACCATTAAGTTTTAAACATCAAGTAGAAAAGCTCCTTTGACAGCTCTTAGCTAGTTCCAACACTAACTTTACTATATTTTAAAATAATCGAGGTATTATAAGTATTATTTTTAAACATTAAAATTAGGATTACTTTATGAAGCAGGCAATGTTGAGAAAAATTTCTAGAACTTTATAAAATGTTCACATTTCAGTATCTATTAACAATCCATGTTCTAAAAAGTTAATGATGCAATAGCAAATATTTGGAGAGATAATAGAGATTTGAAGGAAGAATTGGCCATAAGGCCAATTTTTGCTGACAAAGATGGGACAGTTTAGCTTCCTAATTAGGCAAAATATCAGGGGGTCAGGGGAGGATGAAGTACATGAAACATCTGTAGCCAAAAGCTTAGGCAACTTACTCTCCTGCCAAAAAAAAGACCTTGAGACTTAATGTAAACATTACATGCAAACAGCACAGCACTGAAACAAAAACACCCTCCAAAATCCAAAACCAAACAAATCCCTACTTACCCCCTACAAACACAAATCCATGTTTGTATTTCAAACAAATTAGTCACAAAGGAGTCAATACAGTTAGTGACAGCATTGTCAGTATCCATCAGAAGTAGAGTGAAACGAATAGAAAACAATGATAACATGACAAGTGGAGTGAAAAACATTGGAGAAGATTTAACTTATCAAATCAGGCAGAAAAACTGGATGTATACAAGGGTAACAAATACAGAACAAGAGCAACTATTAGTACAACACAAACACTGAAGGACGCATACTGTTCTTAAAGGAAAAATATATTGCATTAACAGAGGATATATGCCCCTAATATTACTAAAATTGAAATCTTAATGACAACTGGAGTATTTGGGAAGATTTTAATTTGAACTAAGTATATTTGAAGTGTGTTAGCAGCACGTGTTCTTTGGTGACAGTGCCCAAACATCCCAGGACATGAAAGGTGCAATTCCTGCATGAGCCGTTCACTGACCAAGTGGTAACTTTAGACACTCCTGTCAAGCAGTACAAACACAACAAAGACTGTAAAACCAAAAAACACCACCAAAACACCCACATGCCACAGGTTTGCATCTAATAGTCATGAGCTGATTCTATTTCAATTAGCAGAACAACAAAATACCTTACTAATGCATTACAAATGTGACTAGGTAAATAGGCTGATTCTTCATGACGCAATCTGCAGAATGTTTTTGGATAATCCATTCTTTTCATCTGCAGTTCTCTACATGTAATTTGTTACAAGCCACTGAGGAAGGTATATACTGCTCGTTATTTTACAAGTAGGAAAAAAAGAGAGCAAGAGATAAAAGTTTTTTGAGGCCACACAGTTACTGAGCTTTACTGTGCTCTAATTCTTTGTGGAGTGAGAATATTAAGCCTTTTCTTGTCTACGGCACTACTTAATAAAGCTGCAAAAGCATTTTAAACAGGGTCATTAAAGAAAGCCCACTGTTTCATAACCCTGCTTGAAGTAGGAAAAGAGCCAGATAAGATGGCAACCAAAGCTTACTTGATCAACAATGGAAAGATGTCGAGCTTCTTCTAATTTCGTATGTAGAATGGGGTTTGGGTGTATAGCTTCAGGAGACAAATATGGCCTGTATCCAGAGAGCAGGTAAGAAAGACAAATTCCTGAAGGTCCATTTCCTATTAAAGAAAGAAGTTACTGGTATAGTAAAAATTTCAATAATATATAGTTTGTAAGTCACAAAAGATACAGCAACAAAATAAAACTGAATAGTATAAAGCCATACTGTCCTGAGCCAAAGCATCTTATAAACCCTGCAGTAAAATAAAGCCTTATATAGGACTGTCCTCCAAGTAAACAGAGCAAAATCTTTTCCAGATAACAAAGAACCTTTGTATGACTGTTTACATCACAAAACAAAATGCATATAAAGGAGTTCCATAATTTAGTACGTCAAATGCATTATTCTTGTGTTAAAGTGGCCCAATGGATAACAGTCTGCCTGTCAATCACAGTGATATCTGAATATTATTACCATCTTACAACTCTGTATTCCCACAGGCACTGTACAATACAGAGCAGAAAGACAATTCAGAGTATATGCTCTTCAGGTCTGCCCATTAAATGAAAGGAAGAAAGAGATAAGCAGAAAGCTGAAGACTGGAAGTCAGATGAGAAGTTACAGACATGGCAAAACAGCAACATAAATGCTAAGTGAAGACAGATACAGTCACTAAGTGGTAAAGTACAAGAAACTCATGTAAGACCACATTCATCATTCAGCAATAATATCAAGTCAAACACCTTTATCCTCTTTGTAGCATTTTATAATCTGTACATGTGCATTGCTGCAATTTTAATAGACACTTATTTTTAAAATGTTACTAAGGTATAAAACAGATAGGACCATAACATTACCATAAAGTAAACATCTCTATTTATTTGACTAGCATTAAACAAAGTAGGAGACCATATTTATCACATGCAAACACAGAAGGAACATTCCTGTGGCAAAGTCAGATATCGAAAGCTATGCAAAACACAAATCAGGAAAGTACGTGCTATGATAGAGAATTTAAATATTTGACTATGTATTGTTAATTCCATAGCTCCTTTTCCTCATTAACTGAATGAAAAGCACAGTGTTCTCCTAATGAGGCACTCATCAGTATTTTGTCTTTGTTTGCCTTCTAGAGTGGCACTCATGGTATTTAGCACACACTATGCAAATTCTGGGCTTAAGTTACTAATTTATTCATGCTTTTTGTACTCATTGTCTGACATTAGCTCTTACTTCCAACCATTTCAGCTCTTGATGTCAAGAGTTCACATGTCATTTCCTGTTCCCCAGCACCTTTGAACACACTATTCTCATCACCTGTTAAAAATCTCACTTCTTCAACGCCTGCATCTTCTGCCTTTTATGATTCCTCAGTTCCTAAATCCCCCATGAGTTTGCTGAGACCCTGTTCATTCTCTTCATACCCTGGATCTCTTTTTCCTCCTCCACCAGCCTACACTCATCTGGTCTCAGTGGCAGAATATCCCATAGTTTATTACAGTGCAGTGCACACAGACTGGTCACAGCCATGGCCTACAGGAAAATCAAGCAGGCTCACTACAGATGAGTTCTTCAAAGGCTAAGACTGTTAAGTTACAAGAAATCTTCCATAAGCACGTTTTCTGCAAAGGCCTAGAATCCAAGTGAGCATGTGAGAGTGCACAGTGCTCCTATCAAACAATTTAGTTTTTGTATCCAAACATGGACCCAAAAATAAAAGCATTAGAGTGCCTGTTTACTGCAAAGGCCATAAAGCACTGGAAAAAGTCTGTCTAGGAAAGCTGTCGATTTCCATCAGTAGATACTATAAGATAATTAAATCAAAAGTCTGTAATAGAAGGTTTAAATATTGGTGATCCTGCCTATATTATTTCCCAAACCACTTCAATTTCTATTTTGCTATTTACAAAAAAGCCAATAAAGAATCTAAAGACAGTGAAAAAGGTCTTGCTTACTCTCACACTGTTCTGTCCTCCCACAAAAAGATCTGCTGGATATGCTCCAGTTCAGGAATTTAAAGCTTACAGCTGATACAAGCCCCTCCTGTCACCCACTTGCCACATGAGATGGAAGTGAGAGAACCTTAGCAATATAGTGAAACCACCCATAACAAAATCATATGAAATTATGAACACACTGTAATCACACAAATAGTCCAGAAGCATTCCCACGACTGAGTAAATTCTTAACTGTTTTTAGAATTATAAACTTGCGCACAGTAAAGAATTTTCTGTCTTTTTACAAGTGCATAGCTAGCTTTTTTTTTTGTCCTACTGGGGCATAAACAAAGCTAGTCCACAATGGAAAAATGTGTTCCATATCCAAGCATGTCATGCTAAAGATTATTTCTACTGGAGAAGACTAAAAAGAACCAAACAGACAACAAAGGTTGCAAAAACAAGGGCTAGCAAAAGACAAGGAAATTATTGAGGGTGGGATTATGTTAAGGTGAATTACTGTCACTGAGCTCCCTAGCAACTTCCGTGGGACCATCCAGAGAGCTGATCCAAACCCAGTTCCTATTCTTTGAGCAGACTGTGTCCAAGGTAAAGAAATTTCCTTGAGGATACGCTGTCAAGAACACAAAAGATAAAGGTTCAGCTGCAGAACATGCTCCAAACTTACAGCTCCAGCATGAAACTCTTCAATCCCAACTCATTCAAAAGGAATGGACCATTTCTTCCCGAGAGACAGGTACTGCACAGAAGTTATTAAACCACTACACAGTGTGTTTGTATGGGGGGGCATGACAACTCTATTTTCATCCTCTTCTACTACATTATCAAATCATTTTTATATCCCTGTGAAAGCTCTTTGGTGAGACAATGAATTAGTGATAACAGGCTGCCAGTGAAGAAGATCAGCTTGCACAGTGGTTCAAATATATCTGTGAAAAAGCATTGGTGCAATGTATTTGTTTTTCAAGAAGAAATAGTCAAGGCAGCTGTGTTGGGTGTCAGCACCTAGCAAGGCACTCTAGACAAAACAAATGTTAAGCGCAGGTATTTGCATAAAGCAGATTTGCAAACCTAAACAGTGAAAACTGAGTCATTAACCATATGGCAAACCTATCCTAAGGCTGACAAAATGCCAGGAAACCGCTGCTCTTCAACTATGATGCAGAACTTATCAAGTGACTCACGTCTGTCACATCCACTTAAGTCTATTTTAAACTATCATGAAGAGAGCTTTGAGAACAGGCATTGTAGAAACATCAGTCTTTCAAAGTTGTGGAAACTTACTGTGAACACGATTATGCTGAAATATCAATCTCCACAATCTCTGCTTGTTTGCAGGTCCGGTCCTTGCTCTAGTCCCAACAGCTTTGGACTAGATTACTGAAAACCTTCTTTACTCCAGATCTTTTCTTTATCCCCTCATGAAGTCATGGTGATAAGGAGCTAGTGACCAGCTGTTGCTTAAAAACCTTGGTCCAATACACATCACCCTGGCACCCTGAATTAAGCTATGTACCTATGGAGTCTGCTCCCTCTGCTATCCTGTCATTCAGCAACATTTTACAAGTACTAGCCTTTAAGTGTTTAATCAAGACTACAATTTACTGTTTTAAACTGGATGAGTTGACTCGGATTCATTTCGGAAAAGATGGGGAAATACTTAGACATTAGTGATTGATAAAACAGAGAAAAAGACAATTAATGAGAGGGTAGCACCTGACCAACACACAGCACACACTTCACATTATGCTTTTCACTGTCCCATGACCCCAAAAATTTCTAGCAGTGTACCATCAACAATCTCCAGGCATCCTGAAGCAGATATATCACATTAATCAAACCCTAGAATCAGTACAGTTCTTCCATTAAGACTCCCATATGTGCTGCCAAATAACACAGCTCATCTTGTCAAAGCACAACGTGAATTCAAATATACTCCCACAAGTCCCTCAATATAATTTCATGCTATTGTTGTTAATCACAACAACTGTATTACTCTAACAAACATCTTCACTGTAAGGATGCTCAGCATTACTTATTTAATGATAAATTATTGCAAGCAGCAGGTCTAAAGCCAATGTCAGTGACAGAGAATCTTTAAAAAAGTGAAAAAACTCACCTATTATTACTACAGGCAGAGTAAGGAGGGAGTCTCCAGGCAGAACAGTTTCTTCAATTAAAGGCATTCTTTTAATCTTCCTCCCAAGGCTGTCACCAAAATACTGGACAAAGGAATTCAAAAGCTGTCCCTCGGTTTCAGTGCTGCTGTACGTTCTAATTAAGAAGAACAGATGGGAGAAAACTAAAATGAAACAGTGAATTGTTGTCAGAACACTCGCTTCAAAAACAAAGTCGCTTTTGATGTTGTACTTTAAGAGCTGTGAAACTGGCAAAATCGAGACCAAAACAGATATGTTTCACCCAATCTACGAAATTTTACTCTTCAGCACAGCTTTCCTAACAGAAGATTTTTTAAAAGTCCACTTTCTCCTACCAAGTCTGCAGAAGGATAACAAAAAGGCACAGATGGCTCTGTAGAAATGCATATTTCTAATTGCAGTTTATACAAAGCCAAAATATAACCACAAGCATTATTTTGATCCCCCACCCAGTAGAACTCATTCCTCATTATCCTTATCAAAGCAGGAGATACACACTGCCTAGCCAATTCACAACATTAAGGCCAGCCAAAGCCTGATGGAGCTGCTAAGGTATTCGTGCCTCTTCCCGCTGGCTGGGCAGCACACAGGACTTCGCCTCAACAAATTTCCATTCCGGGAGAAGTAATGCTGGTTAAAGCTGGCGGTGGTGTGAAGATGGATCCTTGTGAAGCGATCCCTTTAAGGCCTAGACACAACCCATCCTACCACTGTTAAAAGAAAAGCCTTTACAAGAGGAATGGCCGTGCAGTCAGGTCAGCTCCTGCACAGCAGACGGCTTTCATCCCTAGCCATTTTCCTAGATTTCTCAGTTCTTTCTCTGAGCAACATCTACTTGAGTTTCCCTCATAACTCTTCACCATCTAAATGTGCTTCTAGACTTCAAAGACTCGTTTTATACTGTTTTCTTTTTAGTTATTTAGGAGTCTTTTCCGAATCCTTTCCAGGACATTGAAGCAGAACACACTATCAGTTTAGGTAGAAAGGCAGAGGCAAACTAAAACCAGTAAAGTCTTCCAAATAAAGGCAACAAATTTTTAATTAAAAATATCCAAATCAACAGTTCTAAACATTTTTTTTCTTTACAAACAGTTTTAATTATTAACAATAAATAAAAGTACTCATCTATTTCCTAAGAATTTGCATATCTTAAAGCTATTTTAGCATTTCGGGAATTATTTTCTACACAGGACCAAAATCGTAAGACAATGATCTAATTCCCATGGCCTTCAAGAAGCCATGTAGACTCCATACTGCCTCAACTCCCACGGTACTGAAGGTTCTGTTTCCTCAACAGGGAAGTCTGAAGTAAACTAGAGACAGAGCTGGACAGTAACAACAACACTAGTACACTCCACAATACGTCTCTCTGATGGCCATGTCTTTGTTAAAAAGAGCGGGGTGCTATTCTAAGGTTGCATTTATTTTGGAAAGTACTTGGTATCTGTATTCCCTGCAGTACAACAAAAAACGTTTGCAAAGTACATGCTTACTGTTTGAGTACAGCTGCACATTAGCTCTTGAAGACGCCTAACACACAAACAGCATGAGTTAGATGAGGATGAGAAGAAGGTAGGGAGAGGATATCTAATTATCATACTGATTTTTTCACTTCCACTTTTAGATAGGCATAGGTAGAATATTTTACTTTCCACCCTTTGTTTAGAGTTAACTCAGGCAACCGTACCTGAAAGACAGGCTTAAAGGAAGCATGCACATTTTAGTGTGGTTTTATCATCCTTGCTGTGCCAGATGGAATATAAAACCAAAAGAAACATGTCAAAACCTCTTTCATGGTTATATGCACAATGCTGTAGGCTACAAAAGAATCTTTTAACAATAAAAATGTTGCTTCTGTGTAGCTCAGTGCATCACAAACTACCAAACTGGTAATTTTGCACAGAAACATCCTCATACAATGAGCAGTTTCTCAGTTATGGTGCATACAAAGGACTGTTGTCAGGAGCATGTTTTTTCCTTTGCAAGAGCATCATATCAGAACCCAGCAAGACCTTAAGTTAGGGGCCACTATCTTCCTAACCTCTGAACAACACTGAAAGCCACAAAATATCAGAAATTTTTATCTTGATAAACTCATGGTAGGCAGCTTTGCAGTGGTGGGGATTGGGTACAATTATCTATAGCTCTAGTCCTGCGGAGATGGAATTGGGTACAAGATGAGTCACTTCCAACGCTAGTGCTCAGTTTATCTTATGCTGGTCACACCAAATAACCTCGAGAATTACATTCTGTCAACTGCCTAGATTCTAAAAATGTGCAAACGTGAATATTTTTTTTTTTAATGTGAAAAAATCTTTAAGAGGAAAATCACATAATATATATAACAATTTTTCTCCTATCTGAAAAAGGTAATAATAATTATTTAATAATACCTACTAATAGCTGCAGGTTATTGAAATAAGTGGTGCCATTTTCAGGTAGCAGTTTTGAAGGATCCTAGAATCCCCTACGTACTTTTAAGAAAAAAAAAAAAAAGAAAAAAAAAAAGAAAGAAGCGGACTGTGATGGGCGGTTAACAGAAAAACTCGTTATATAAACGGAATTTGAATTTGGTCTCGAGTTGACACTTCGGGAAGCGAATTTCACGCCGTCAGACGGCTGGGTTTTTTCCAGGTGCCCGAGGCGGCGCGGTGCCATCAGGGCCGGCATCCCCGGCCGTGCCGCTCTGCCATCCCCGCGGCGACCGCGCACCCCGGGAGGCGCGGGCAGCCCCCGGCCCGGCTGCTCCCGGCGCTGCCCAAGGTCACGGCGCGACCGCCCGGGCCCCGCCGCCGCCATCCCCTCCCTCGGCGGAGGGGCCGTGCGGGGCCGGGCAGCGCAGCAGCCCCGCGGAGGCCGCGGCATCGCTCTCCGCCCGCCCCTGTGCCCGTTCCGCTCCCCTGCGACCGCCCCGACCCACCGCCCGCTCCGTGCCGCCGCCTCACCTGAAGTGACTGGCCAGGGAGCAGCGGCAGCACCACACGGGCATGGGGAGCGCCGGGGGGGCCCAGCGATGAGGCTGCGGGGGGACAGCGCGCCCCGGATCCCGCTCCTCCGCCTCCTGCAGCCGCCGCCGCCACAGTGGGGCCGGCGCGGCGCCGTCCCCCCGCCCCGCTCACAGGCGGCAGCGGGTCACACGCGGGAGGAGGAGCCGCCGCCAGCACCGGGAGGGAGGGAGGGAGGAGGGACGAGCGGGGTGAGGAGACGAGAGGATGGGAGAGCGCCGCTTCCTCCTCCCGGCCTCGCCGCGGCCCCGCGCGCCCGCTCTCCTCAGCAGGATGCGGGATGCGCCGCCTCTCCCCGGGAAGGGGGGGAAGGACGGGAGCCCCGACCTGGCGCGGTGGAAGGGGGAATGGGAAGGCGAAGCAGCGGCGGGAGACACTTCCTTGGGCCGGGGAGGGAGCTGCGGGTCCTGAGGCGACTTACACCGCCCGGCGGTGGCCAGTTAAAAATTTTTGATGCACCTTTTGACTGACCTTTTGGCCTATTCGGGAGCAATGCTTCATATATGATCAGTCATTTGCTTTAAATTGTGTCTTCTTATAAATATTTTGCAGGTTTGCTTATTTGCGATACAGCATTCCTTACCTAGACTTTCCCCGCTCATAGTGACTGCGGTTGGCAGCACCTAAGGAGGTCATCCCGTCCAACCCCCTGCCCAGGAGCATGACCACTTGGATTTTGAGTATTTCCAAGGCTGGAGACTTCGTGATCTCCCTGAGCAACCTGCTCAGGGGTTTGACCACCCTCACAATGAAATCGTGTTTCCTTATGTTCATGCGGAGTTTCCTCTATTTCAGTTTGTGCCCATTAAGTCTCATCCTGTCCTAGAGAACCACTGAGTTTCCTACCATCTTCTGATGAACTCTTCTTCATTCTCTCCCACCAAGTATTTATACACATGGATTAAGATCCTGCTAACCCTTCTCTTCCACTGTCTGAACAGTCCCAGCTTTCTCAGATTTTGCACATAGTAGTTGGCCTGCTATGTGAGAGCCCCATGTCTTACACTGATTTTCTCTCTCAAAATCTACCAACCAATAAGGGTGAATGCCAATAAAATCTATTACTATTTGTTAAACAATTACAGTCTTTCACTCAGGCTTAAACTTGACAATTAGAAATGTCTTCTCTGTGAATCTATTCCATAAATCCGCAATAGCAGGATCTTAAACGGCTGTAGTTACTGTGTCTGAAAGTGGCTGTTGGTAGCTGACAGTCCAGTTCACCTCAAGGTTATTCATTGAACAGACTGTCATGTCTGTAGTCAGCAAATAATTACTGCTTAATAACCCTGCTCTGGATCCAGTAGAAAGGATGGCTTTATATTTATTAGATATGTGCTCTATAAAAACTTAAGGGAAAAGAACACAGGAGCTGAGTTGTACCACTGAGGAAATACAGAATATTGATGTAAAATTTCTATTTTCAAAGGATGAAACAAATTCAGTTAAACACACTGTTCTTGAAGTATACCCGGCACCAGGTCTAGTATGTCTTTAGACCAGAATTTAGAACCTGAAGCTGCATTTAGCTTGTGCTGTCCCCCAAAATACTGCCTTCAGTATTCATACTGTTTTATTAAATTGCATTCTCCTTTACAATGAGTTATGGAAAAATACAAAACAAACTGAAAGGAAATCTTATCTTTTTTCCCACATAATATCTTGCTCATAGTCAGGACAGCCTCCTACTGTACACAAATCTCCAGGTCTGTGGACCTCACACTTCAAGGAAACTAACTATAATCAAGCAAAAGTTTTCCAGGTTCCACTAGCTATTTGGTGGCAGTGTCAGATGACACTGACTTAAAAATTAACGTATTAAGGACATATTTGGCTTTAAGTATGACCTTTATTTCCTCCCATAAACAAATCTGGTTATCTGGAATATAACACAGAACCTCAGCTATACTGGTACTATTATTAGTTTGTGCCCTTATCTTTGTAGACATAAACTTGAGAAGAAAAACAACCATACCTATGTCCACACCTATGACTGGGACATGTCTTTCCCCAGCATATTTTTACATTTAAAATTGAAAAAGTTATACTGGACCTTAAGTTTGTGATATAAAAAGGCAGTTTGGAAAAAATACAAACAGGACTTCTCTGGAAATTATATTCTGTGTAGATGTCCTGATTTGCAATTAATTAAATGTTTCTCCCAGAAGCAAAATTTTCTGTTCCTTTTAATTCTAGCCTAGGTTTTTCAGATGTCTTAGATTTTTGCTTAGGATTTATTTCAAATCCATGTCTCATGATAAAATATATTTTCTTTAGATGTACCTTTGTATTAGTTATTTAACAGTAAGGAAGGAACAAATGGGAAGAGACTAAAACACACCAAATGATAGCAAACACTTCCTCCCATATACAAACACTAATCACATTTTAAAGGGATTTATATTTCCTGTTGGGTTCATTTCTGTTAACAGATTCAGGAGTTTTTGGCTGCTAGGTATATTCAAAATCCTTACATTTTAAATCATGCTAGCCAAATAGCTAATTTAAATCTCCTTTCTTTCACTAACACTCATTATACTGATTTAGGTAATAAAATTGTGCATTTGTTCAAGAATTATCTTTTTCTAAAATTGAATTTAAAAATATTTCTTCCCCGAATGTTCGGTAAGTCATTATCTCAACCAATGATGTTGGAAAATACATTAAACAGATAGCTTTTTATTAATCACAATGTATTTTTAACAATATTTATAGCTTCTCGTGATCAACTGACTGATAAATAAATAAGTTTAGTACCAGTATTTGATGCTGCATAATTCTTAAAAGTCCTGCATAAGGTGAGAGCATCAGAGCAGGAGACTGTTGTCTCAAGCCATGATACACAGAATGGAAAAAAAGGGCTTCATCCTCTTGGGTAGAACCAACATGGTCACTGAGTAACTGAAGGATGACACCAGCTGTGTGCTGAATGCAACCTGCACCTTGTAATACAGCATGGGAAACAAGAAAAAACACTACGGCATCCTGGTAAGATTCCCATGCCTCCACCCGCTGCAAACTAAGTAGAAAATAGACCTGCAAGGCTTCAGATATCACCACAGGAATATGCTAACTGTCTGGATGAATAATGCAGTATCCCAGTGCTGGGGCTTGCCCAGGACAGATGTCTCTTCAATGACAAACTTGTTCCCTGTAACAGTAAATGACTCTGAAAGATGTATGAACTGCAAGGCCCAGCAAGTGACAATGTAGTGAAACATTTTCTGAGATGAGCAAACAGAAAGTTTGCCACAAGCCTATGGCACTGAGCCTGAAGCACGAGGCACTGAAGAAAGGCCAGGAGAGATTAGGAAGGCTTGAGTTTATTTGCTCAATACTGTTAAGCAAGATGAAAACTAGGAAATCTAGCTGCAAAACAATTTTCTGCCTGGTCAAGTTAAAAAAAAAAAATTGTAAAGATGGAGGATCTCAACCAAGCAGTTCTATTGCAGCTATAACAGAGCCTGACAGAAAGTCAAGATAATTGTCAAGAGGGACAAAGAAAAGACAATTATGAAACAAGCTTGAAGAAGCAGGCCTGTCAGGTTCCTGGAATCTTTTAATCATCTGTAAATAAAATTATTTTCAGCAGCTCCCTTCAGATGTTACTGAGTGCTAATGAAATAATACTTGCTTGGAGAATAAAGATGCAACAATTTCTGTTTCAAAAATTATCTGAATAGCATAGAAGTATTGACACGAGGGTCTTTATTGACCTTTTTCACTTCAGAGAACAATTTGCCTGAATATCCCAAAAGATGTCTATGTAGTATTCTGTAATGATGGTGAAGAATGATTTAACCCAGCAGGAGGCTAAACACGACACAACCACTTGCTCACTGCCCTGCAGTGGGGTGGGGAAGAGAACAGGAAAAGAGGTCAAGCTCACAAGTTAAGAAAAATACAATTTCATTGGAAAGAAAAGGAAAGGAAAATAATAATGATAATATTAATAATAATAATGAACAACATACGAAAATGATGGACAGTGCAATTGCTCACCACCCGCTCTCCAGTACCAAACCAGTTCCCAATCAGTGGCCTGCCATTCCCTGCCCAAGTCCCCCAGTTTAAATGCTGAGCATGACACCATATGGTGTGGGATATCCCTGTGGTCAGTTGGGGTCAGCTGTCCCAGCTGTGTCCCCCCCAGCTTCCTGTGCACCCCCAGCCTCTTTGCTGGCAGGGCAGTATGAGAAGCTGAAAAATCTTTAATGTAGTGTTAGTCCTGAACAACTAAAACATCAGGGTGTTGTCAACATTATTTTCATCCTAAATTCAGAACACAGCACTGTACCAGCTACTATGCAGTAGTATCCCGACCAAAACCAGGACAATAGGATTTGAGAAGAATTATGCCAATGCCTGGTCAAAATTCCCAGCCAGTGGTAAACTACATAGCTGTGATAGCATCATTGTATGTACCACATGCTGTCATAGTATGTGGAAGGAATCAGCATTCCCTAGCACCGAACTGCACTGCTTCAACAGATGGATAAAATCAAATTGGAGAAAACCTGAGAGATCATGGCGTGACAGATAGGTAGAGGCATAAATGATCTCTGGAAAAAAGTTCACATGGAAGGATTTAACCACCTGAAGTTTGCTGATGCTGTCAGTCTTGTAGACAT